TGTTGATTGACTTTACAATATCTACAATTTATATGACCCACGAACAATCTCCAGATTCCTAATTTGGCTCCTTACAAATGTTAGTTGGTATTTCAACCTTACACAGGGGAGAAGTATAATCGAATGAAAGAGTAAATGGAATGGATGTAATCAAACGAACCAAATGTTACTAATACGCATCATACACACCAAATGACCAAATGTAATTACAAATGAAATTTAAAAAAAACCTAAGTTAGATTAAAAGATACATTTAATGTATTGTAATAAGTCTATTAGTACGTAAAATTTATTTATACAGATAAGTATAGTTTATATTTCTAATTCAACTGATGAAGTATTTAAGTTAACGACGAAGATTTATATTTCCAAACTAGCACATCAACAAATTATTATTATTATCAATGTGCCAATAAATACATACGATTTCTATATCAATTCAAAATATTAACGTAAAAACATATTTTAAATATGTCATTTAATATACTAACCATACGACGAATAGCTCCACTAATGGTCAAGATTTTGTGATTTCCAGTTATGCGACCAGTGGCCGAGTCGATTTCGGCTAAATTGATCTGAATAGAAGCATGATCTTTAGCGGGAATGATACGGTTGCTGGCAGAGCTATTAACAAAGTTACACAATTTAGTCAATAAAACACGAACACTGAAAAATGCCATGTGGCTCTCGAACGTCTTGACGTTTTTGATGTCAGGATTAAAAACAAATTTGTTGTCATCCGACAAACGCTCACCATTTTCTTGGGCAGTACAAGTCAACAAATTCTCCGGCGTCGTTTTGCATTTTGAATTTTGTAAGTTTCTGACTTCTCAATTCAAAAATCCTAGATTGAAATTGAATGAAATCCGAAAAGATTTTATGGAAGTAAATATATTAAAGGAAAAAAGATCTCGAGAATGATATGGTATACATAACCTCAATATTCTCGTAGACAATATTAATGTCTTTGGCGATAAATAATGTGTGAAGTGTTGACCGTGATCTGTGCCGTTTACTCCATGAAATACTTATTTGCCCGGGTTCGAACCACTGAACTGAAGGTACTGTAGTTAATTCGAAAAAAAGACACACCTGTAAGAAAAAAACCCCTGCACTAACTAAATACTTAATACTTTTTTACTATAGTGTACATTTTATAATTTCAATTTTTTAAACAATACATCTATATTTCAATATAATTACATGAAACATTTTTGATATAACTAAGACCATATATGATATATAATATTCTTTTAATAAACTGTATGTACTTGTATATTATAATAAATAATATTTAATAAAATAATACACCAAATATTTTAAACTATATAGGTTACATACATTACTATACATTTTAAATATGAGAGATTAAGCTATTAAGGTAGGTTTATAGGTAGGAATAAAATTAATTGACATTTGACTTTATCTTAAAAATTATGAAGGTATTATATTTTATTGTAGACTCTATCTGGAAACTGTTGTTGGTATCTTAGTATTTACAACATTTTATTATTACAAATGTGGTTTTTTCATTCATAAAGTTATTGTTGTTAATATTTTTAATTAAAAGTGTGTACCTATATCTGCTTGTTAATTTTTTGAATTATATGCAAATGAGTAAATAACAAATGACAACTATTGAGTAAAATTCAATGTAAAATGTAGAGTGCAGCTTTATTTGTATATTTTATAGTAAGAGTAATAATACATGTCAAGGAATGTTATGAACTATTTATTATATATATTTTGATTTATGGCTTATGTTTTTTGATTTTTAACTGTGATATAATTAGTTATTGTTTAATGTCATATCTAGATGTAATATTTTTTATAGTTACCTTTTAATAAAATAAATGTATTACCTGGTGTACTAAATTAGATGCATGAGAATATAGTAAAATAATTTAATAATTAATGAAAAACAATTGTCAACATTAATTGATTAATGTTAGGTGTATTACTGTATTAGTTTACCTATTAGATATTATTATGATATAAAACTGTAAAAGTATATCTTAATGGATATGGATATGTTAAAGAAGTGTTACATAGATAAATGGAATGATTATATTTAACTATGTAAATCATAATAAAAAAGGATAATGTTGGTACGGGGATTTTTTTCTATGAAATGGCCATATGGGCTTTTTTCCCTAGATTCCAACTTTATAATTAGTGGTTCGAACAGACGAATATTAAACAATGAACTACAATTTATAAATTTATGTTTTCTCAAAAACAACCTGTGAATTTGAAAAGATAATGAAATCCATTATTATCATATAAAATCACCTCATCAATTTTGACAGTAGGTAACGGTACTCACTACTTAGTACTTACGTGTACACACACCAAATACGTTTTTAAGACCATAACTGTACAGTGTGTTGATATAATTGCCTACTCCCGTTATTCACACGGCCCAAGAGTGTTTTCCGATTCCGGTTATAATATAGTAAGTACCTATATTAATGTGTTTTATAAAAAAATCGATATAAGTATATGACATTGTGATAATATCTGCAGTAAAATATAGATTACCTTGCAAAATTCGATTGTTTATAAACATTTTTAATTAGTAATGGAAGGATCATCGAAATTTATGTTTGAAAAAAATTCCAAATTTACTCTAATAATTCCTATGCTTAACACTCGTTTTCACATACACTGGCATATACAGTAGCCATCATAAGTGGATATTTTGTAAGGGGGGGGGGGGTAAGACCTAGTATATGTTAACCTATGTTTATACTCCTCGGAATCTCGGATGTTTCTCTATTACAACTTTATAGGTGCTTGAGTGCTTGGCCATATAAATACAGACTAGTAGTCTACAGCACATACAAATTAATATTTAGTCCCACTATCCGACTACTACCTACTGTCTAGTACCACAGATTGCACAGAATAAGATAATAGCTAATCCTAGTACCATATAGTGTTAACAATTAAAATAATCATACATTGTATCATGATCTATTGATTATACAGTCTTCATCATAAATTAAAATACTATAACCTACCTATTACAACTAATATAAGTAATAATAATTTTTAAGGAAAATATCAAGGGGATTCGATCTCATCTCTGCTTCCTACCAAAATAGACGTATCTATGCCTAGTGGTGTAACATTATAGGGTGGCATGATGGGAAATGAGCCACCGACCCATGTTTTAGAGTCTAGAGAACCCTTCAAGAAATTTCATAATCCAAAAAACCGTAATTAATATTTAAAAAAGCGGGTAGTGGATGATGACCTGCTGTACATTAGGTGTCTAAGGGGTCGCTGTAATGGATGGTATTAATTTATGAATTCAATGATATCAAATTATTACATAGGTACGAAAAACGTTTCTGACGGTATGTCAGTTTAGGATATTTTATATTGTTATTGCTTACTATTAGTATGGTAGCCGGTAAGTCGAATTAATATAATTCTTAAATTATCAGTGATGCTGGAAAAAATGTATTACATTTCCAAGATTCTCAAGGTTTTTTGACCGAGATAAATTTTTTTTTATCGACTAGAGTTTAAAAAAAAACAAATAATAATCGAACATTTCATATGCCTATAAGTTCAACACAAATCAAAATATTTTGAAAATTTCTATGGTGTAATAGAAAATACTAACAAAAATATTCAGTGTAACTTTCATGTATTGTCGTATTGATGTATCTACGGCAGGGCTTGCAAACGTTATAATAACGTTATGATTATAACGTTATATTTGATAAAAAACGATTGAAATTTGTAAACGTAATTATAACGGAAAACGATAAACGTAAATAAATAAATAACATAAAACAAAAGGTAACGTTTAACAAAATATATGATGTATCATTAAACAAAACATAACGCAAAACGGTATATATTGTATTCCATTAAACGAAATAATAAATTCCCAATTATTTAATAATACTTAGTAGTATTCAATTAATTATTCAATACAAGAATTAATTTTATTCCGTATCCGGCCTATCCGGGAGATCCCGTATTAGATATTATTTTAAAACTTAATAAGAAGTTATCTCTTGAGCGTTGTACACATTTTACTTTTGATGTAGCGGCCCCTTAATAGAATAATTTAATTACCAATAGCTAATAATAGTGATGCTCTGATAATATTGCACTGTACTATCTGTACTACGGTCGAAATGTATACCACTCAAGTTATTCAACTATTGTATTCGGTGTTCAGTTTGCTCAGATTTATTCACTCGTCAGTGTTTGTCTAATTGTTGTCAAATGTTTAATATTTATATTTTATACTAATATACTTATAGTTTTAATGTGCATACGTTTTCTTTATATTAGTTTAACCCATTTAATTAAATAAATAAAATTAAACAATAACTACTTAAAACTCAGAAGAGGGAAATTATGTCCCCAAAAAAAGGTCATAGTCGTATACTTTTAAATTTTAAAAAACGATAAACGCAAAAATTGTATAACGTTTTAATTATGAATAACGATAAACGCAAAAATTATATAACGTTTTAATTCTGAATAACGATAAACACAAAAGTTGAATAACGTTTAAATTTTGAATAACGATAAACTCAAAATTTGTATAACGTTTTGATTGTAAAGAACGTAAAACAAAAATTTATTTTTCAAATGCAAGCCCTGATCTACGGTCATTTTTGTTAGAGTTACACTAAAAACAAAATCGCATTTTCCGAAAAATGGTTTTACGTAAAAATTCCCGTTTTTCCTTAATTTTTTGTTTGTTTTTGCTATTGCTTTTGAAAACTATTGGGAATTCTTTATACATTTTTCCAACTTCATAACAATTATAAGTATTACATTACAAACCTAAATTACTTTTTTTCAAATAGTCGTCTTATATTTTATTCATCTTAGTATTCACGAGTTATTCATACAATATCATTTTTTAGAACCGTCTCAAGTTCGAGGCTTAAAGTTTTTGTAATTTTAATTATGAATCCAATAATAATAAAGTTATTTTCAGAACTTCGAGTACATGGGTAATATTTAATTTATAATAAATGTTTATTTATTGATATTTTTATAACAACGGTTCGTTTTGAAAATACCAATTATTACAATAGACAAGAAGATACCTAATTTAAAAAAACATACACATATAGTCAATAAGGTAATAAAACATTCAATTCCCTAATAATTATTTTAGTCAATATAACAGTACCTACTGTAATATATCTACATTCTACATACATATATATATATACTTACACATAAACAATAATATATATTTGCACAAATATCACAGCATTTTCCCTAAGAGTTAAAATATATTATACAAAAATAAGTTATAGAAATGTCAGGTTTCGGTGGTTTCATCGTTTCCAAAAAAACTCGAGTACAACCACGCCACCATACATAAGACCACACAAGCGCAAATCATCATTAAGACAATTTTTTTCTGCAACAAATAATTATAATGGCTTTAACAACAAATTGTATATTATAGACACCCGTTCGAACTTTTAAGGGTATAAATTCGTTTCCCTAAACAATATAATATTATTATTCGTACCACTCTCGCTTTACTAGTGTATATGACTGCTTTTTTGGTTTCTACTTTGGCATTTTCAGCAGCTTCTCCGGCCCTTAACACGTGCTGTTCTATACTATTAATTATGTCACCCTGTAAGAAAAAGTAACAAGTTTAATATTAATACAATTTTTGAAAACAACACAATTGGATGAGCAGTTAGTAACGATATTGTAGTTACACAATATGAAATTAAAAAACAATCAAATTCTTGTCACATTTATTAAATCTGGAATATAATATATGGTAGTATGAATAATTAACATCCGCTTTGGTATAATCAAAAAACAAACTGCGAAAAAAATGTAAGTATATACCTACCTACAATTCCAATTTTCAAGTATAACTAAAGACTTAAGTTGCTATTTTTTTTTTACATAATTATAATTAAAATTGTAGGTATAAAATAGATTAGGACGTATATAGTGACAAATACATAATTATGTCTTAAAAATTTTAAATCTATTAATATAAAGGATCCACTTGGCGTATATTAACAATTATGTAAGTACCTATTCAATAAATTAATATTCACACCACAAAGCGGTTATATCAGTTTTACTTTTTAATGTTTTTATTAGTTCTTATGAAATGCAAGAGCCAATCGGAAATTCCACGTGAATAGATTTTAATGAATTTCTAAAATTCTTGTTTATACCAACGTGAAATCCATATCATATCAATATAATATAATAGTCCCAGCAATACAATACATTTTAATCGACTTTCGAAAGGACACGAATGCGCGATGTAGACACTTGGAAATAAATATTAGGTCTGTTAAATATACCGATTTTAGCACTGCGATGGATCAAACAATATTGTATTTAACTATATATTCAGATATAATAATAGTATTGAATATTAATAAACATAATTCAAACCTATATAAAAATTGATTTACAAAGAGAAATAGACGTTGTGCTGCTAAGCTACTAAGCTAGTAGCGACGAACAATAAATAGTTAAGACGTGCTTTTTAATAAATAGTAAATAACAGTAATTAAAATGTTAAAACCGTAATTGATTATTTGTAGACAGTGATTATAATATGTTACATATTAAATATATTACTTCATATATGTGCCTAAATGTGTTTGTTTCAACTTTGTTTACAAAATTTTATCGACAATATCCGTATAGCACATCGGCACACAATACAATATATTGCAGCGCAGTAGATACGCACGTCGGGCAGGTCGCACGTGTACCAAAAACTTGTTGATATTGAAAATCAGATATAGAAAATAATATAATAATAGATAATAGTATGTTTATACTTTATAGGTATTACGCATTAAGAAACACATATTTTGTTACCTTTACGTTTTGGCCACATCTGTGGTTCTGGAATAACGTACCTACCTATACTAGAATAGTAGAATACAAAGCAGGTGTAGATATTATCATACACTGCAATCGATCGACAAATTATGACAATAATGAAAAATACATGAAGTGTGATAACCAGAGACGGATAAACAATGTACTAGTTATTGAGTACGACGAGATCTGAAGCGAAATTTATGCATATACCTACTCCACCGTTGCAGGACTTGGACTATATACAGGGGAATACGAGGTATCTTGTATCTATATAAGTATATAACTATAATATTATTTAAATTATTTATATCATCGTCATACTTGCTTTTCGACCAGCATGGCCATCTCAACAAACATGTCCCGGAGCTCCTGTATGCTCTTTTCCAGTTTAAGCAGTTCCAAGTGTCTGTCTTGGACTTCTTGCAGCGTGCTCCTGGCTTCCAGCGTTTCGGCAATTATCTGGAATCATTAATTTATAGTATATTTATTTACACACACTAGTGCAATATGACTAATTAATATATTTTATATTTTGAAAGACCAAAGGCACATGCAAAAATCGAAAATAGCTCTTACGTTGCCGTTGAACACGGCCGAATAGTTGCCCTGGCTGACTAGCTCGTCGAACTGATCGTTGGATATTTCGGCTTTCGCTGTAAAAAATATACAACAATAAAAATATATTAAATATAATCGGATCGACGACGGATTATGTACATATATAACTGTTTATGTCTCGTTTGAAAAAAAAATATTTTTAATCACTAACCTATGCTCACGACTTTCTGCATGCGTTCCTCGCATTTTTCTTTGTAGATGATTTGCTCGGCGTTGAATTCGGCCAGGGCTTCGACCAACATGTGTATCGTGGTGGCATGTTGGGTTTTTCGTATCCGCAACGCGGCGCTCACTTGTTCGTTGTCACCAGAAGACTCATCTTCTTCTTGGTTGATCTGTTTCTCTAGACCTAAAAAGAAAACCCCATCAAATATTTTAAACGCCTCGACGAGCACGACTGCAATAGTACAACACACGTCCGGGATTCTTCAAGTTTCGTGGGTAGATATATAGATTTCTACGAAGTAAATAAGCTCTAATCCGATTTTTATCTGTGGCTTTCTGACTTATATAAATTATAACAAAACGCATTATTATATTCGCATTCAATGTGTCCTGCATAGCGAAACAATTTTAATCCTGTCAAGTGTATAGGCACAAGAATTGGTTTTGGAGAATTGTTATACTTATACGTATATTTACCGCATACCTATTTACTTTTATTTATATTTATACGTTTTCCTTTGTCATTATTTTATTTCCTGTCGCGCGGCTAAATAATGATTATTTTTTTTAAATATTATAACAATGGTTTTGATTAATACTAAATTTAGACACAAAGTGATTCAGCAATTACTTTTATGATTAGTATTAGGTATAATTTTATTTCGGTGAAATTATTCGAATGATTTTGCAAACATTATTTAGAAATGTAGAAATCTAGTTAGTTGTTTTGTATTTTAGAAAACAATAACTCCGTCTTTTGGTTTTATTAAGAACTTGTATATATAGGTATATTATCATTTATAGTATTATTTATTATATAGAATTTAAATTAACATCTGGTTTTCTATACTCGTGCTACAGCTATCAGTACATACATTTTGTGTAATATTGTATTAAATAGTAAATACACACGTGTGTGATACTGCAGCAGTGATATGTTTATGTGTCACTTAAAATAATAATACCTAGATAAATAGTAGGTAAGTCAAGACGTCCGGTACAACATTAAATTAAACGCCAATGAAGGGCCTTGGCTGTGTTAAAGAATAATTTTTGTTATTTTATGTATGTTATATAGTATTTATGATATTTCCGAAGTCCAATGTTGTCCGAGACCTTGATGCCCGTGAATCCGTTCTGGACAGCCTACAGATTACCATTTACGATTTTTTTTATTAAGGATATTACCTCGTATATATTCCGTGAATATATATATACGTGTATGTGATAAAAAAAACATTATTGAGCGTTTATTATTGCCGTGTCATTTCAATGGAATAATCACGAAACTGAATAATGATAATAGAAGCGCGAAATATATACCAATAACAATACCTATATGTGTGAAAAAAAGTTCAAACTGAATATTATAATATATTATTATTTTTAATACTTACATGTCCTATTATAATATAAAGCAATCTATAAGGGCCGAGTTTGACAACCAGATAATTCCACTTTATAACCTTGATAAAAAAAATCACCATACTATTTTGGGCCTTAAATAATAGTTATGTCTGTATCTATTTTGGTATCTTAGATTGCAGTAGTTAAGCTGACAATTATTGTAAACATGAATAGTTCACATGAAGATATCTGGTTCCTTCAACATTTTTTTTATAAATATTATGAATTCAAATTAAAACATTAAAAAGTTATTAAAGTATCATTGTATTGTAGTATTATACCTATAAGTTATAAAATGAATACATTTTAAATTCTCAATACCATATGTCTTAATACAAATCCATTACCATTAAAACTCCGTCGAAAATATTCAGACATATATCTAAATTACAGTGTCTGTTTCACCGAAATTTAAATCAGTAATATCCTATAAAAAAAGCCACTTTTCGAAAAAGTTGAACTTATATTATGGTTTTTGCACTCAATTCTACAATTACTTATAAATTAGTATGAATTGCATTTTTGTGCCCAAATCGATGAAAACGTTGTTATTATAATATTAGGCATATTTATATATTGTTATAACCTTTCAATGTGGTGCTGACTTGTTTACCCATTTTTTTTACATTTTCAGTTTTTGTATCTATATCTCGTTTCATATCTGCAAATAAATTCAATAAAGACAATATTAAAATCTGTATTAGACTTTTATTATCGAAGGCGCAGTTGTTGCTGTATATTATTATAATAATAAATAATATATAGCGTATACGACAGTATCATACTTTCATCTTGCCTGGGTAGGAGTAGTAACTTTCCGTGTAACGTCCTCATCAACACTACGTGTTCTTTGATTTGTCTTATTTTTACCCGACACTGTTCAATCTGTAATTTTGATCTAGTATTATGATTTCAGATTTTTATTAGGTACTTATATCAATTTAAAAACAGTTTTGTTTAATTATTTCAAATGAAACAATTAACTTAGTGCATATTAAATAATATATATTTATACAATTATATCTATTACCATCGTCATATTTTAAATGTATATTATTATTTTGCCAAAGTATAGTAAGTACTAGGTACATTCATAAAACATTTTATAATATATTTTAATATAAATATAAGTAGTATAGGTGCTCATCGTCATTCGTCATAATGGGTGTTGGGTTTGATTAACTTTCTATTACACAAAAAATAAAAACGCTCACGTCATAATCATTAATAAAATTTCGATTAATTTAAACTATTTTTTTTTTTTATGCCAAATTATAGGATATAAATATTATATACGTATCATTAAACAACAATAGATATATTTTTAGACTTAATATTGTACCTGGTCGAAAAAATGTTCCATGTAACCGTACTCTGAGTATTGCATGTCCAGAGCTACGTTGTCCACTCCTCTTATGTTATTTCGGGAATCCATTCTGTGGACGTGATTTGGAAATACATCTTCTACTATCTATGGAGAATAAAAACGATAACCATAAATAAACGATGTATGTAAATTATGGCACCGAGAGGGCCAATAGACTCTAACAGGAGGATGTCAGTGCACTACATTTTGTTTTCTCTCACACGAAACATCAAATTTACGTTCAGCAGAAATAACCATAATCCATATGTTGTTACTTTTATTTTAAGATTGAATTCAACTAGTATTAAACTTTAAGTTGAGAACATTACCTGTGCCATTAAGTTGGCTATTTTATGATATTTTAATTTTTATGTAAGTTATGAACGTGTAAATTATTACAATTTTAAAATGCATACAAATTAAAATATCGAAGGTAAGCTGTCATAGGTAATGTTCTTAATTTAAAAAAAAAAGTAAAAAGCGAATAAATTTTAATATTAAAAGTAATATTACATTGTTGGTTATGATAATCGTATAAATTTGCTATGTTGCGCGTGAGTCGGAAAAATAAAAGTACGGTGGGCTGACATCCACTATAGCCTCAATTTGTTAGGGGTGATTGAAACAGCTACGATTAAACCATCGTTATTTTAAAACCAATTATAAAGTACCAATGAGATATTATTTTAGTTCGAGGAGTCCAAACCATAATATATGCGCTTATATAAGGATCGAAAAAATATATTTCGTTTTTATAAATCATGTTGTAATAACCATTTTTACGTATGGTAAACTTGTTTAATATGGTATACTATTATAATAATTTCCATAGTTACATATTTTTAAATGTCTTATTCAAACAAATAATTAATAGCTATGATACTTATCTGGCTTCATACTATTTTTAATTAAAACTATCCAATAAAATGTTTTTTAATACATATCAAATGTATAAAAGAACGCTGTGCTTTAAGTAAAAAAGATATCTTTTACATTGCTATTTGGACATCATAAAATAATTTATAAATAATGTTAAAATGAGACAATCTGAGTATATATGTATGTATATTGTATATTTTTTTGACTATTTATGTTAATAATTTTGCATAGATTTTAAGAGGTATGTAAATTTATATTCAATATTAATAAAAATTAAGAGTTATTTAAAGCCATAAATAAAAATAAATAATTACATTTATTTTAAGCCATAATTAAGAGTCATTTTTCTTTGTAATATATAGGACCTTATGACTCAAATAAAACATTGTTGGAATATATTTTAATAAATTGAATGACTTAATATAACTTCAAACGCTCATAAAAAATCAATTCGACCATGGTTGTTACAATTTTTTTTTTTTGATTTTGGTAGAACAACTTATGAGTAGTTTTATTTAAATTTATGTATAAAAAGTCTTTTTTTATAAATTTCTCACTAGGTATAAAATAATTTGTAAATTTGAGTGATTTTGATGAATTTCATAAAATTCTAACTTCAAACGACCATACAAGTTATTGCGGACTTATCAATTAACTTTTTTTAAATTACACTAATGACTACTTATGAGGAACACCTGATATTACATTTTTAAGTTGATCGTGTCGGGAGGACACTGCTGAGTGCCCATAAATGCTAACCACCAGTCAATAACTGTTAATTATCAAATTTACTCACTATTCTTATTGTATTGTATAAATTGTAAATAATTTTAAAAAGATAAAATTAAAAATTAAAAATGTCTCATGACTGTTGTCTATAGATAGCTTAAAATGAGTCATAAATCATAATATTTAGAAAATGTATTATATCATGTGTAGGTAAATGATCGTATGAACGTTGGGTGAAAATTAAAAGTATCTAAAGTTATTAGTTTTTGAGTTACACAAAAAAAAAATTGATTTTGTCAAAAACTGATTTAGCAAAATGTTCCCGTTTTCTTTAAAAGTTTTTTTGATTCTTTAGAAAACTACTGAGCATTATTTACTTTTGATCCCCGATCCCCCAAACAATAAAGTACCAATTAGATTCACTCTCCTCCCAGAAAAGTCTCTGAAGTAGAAAATTGAACCATTTTTACTGCTGAAAAAGTTGATTACGGATGATCACACAGAAAATTTAAAAAAAACAAACATCATTGTAAAATCAATAGGTAGGTACATTTATTGTTCCTCTTAGCTCTTAGAAACTAAAATACAAATTCAATGCAGTGATGAGAATGCATTGATAGTTATTATATTATTAATAAATAATTACATAAGTTGAAATTGTAATTTGGTATATTTAATATTGAAATTTAACGAAATTATGATTTATGATAAAGATTTTGGATGTTATTGAACAAAATGTTTTTTTTAACGACAAGCCTTAGAGTGCTACCACAAGTGGATAATCTAACTCAAAGTCTTTTAAGCAATTTTCATTTTTCATTTATCCCTAAATCTCTATTTCACATGGGTATCTACTGGTTCTGTAAAAAAATATTTACAGATTGTGTATTCTCTGATAAATGTGAATAAAAAAAAGAAAAAAAGAGACATGCGTTGTTAAACAATATCTGCTTTTATCTCAACATTTAACACGTTTTGGATTTGAACGTGTATTTCATTATTCATTTATCATTATCAAATATCAATTATCACTTAAAAATAATCTTTTTTGTATAGGTTTTTGAATTGATCAGTTAATTTAACTACCTACTTATAATTATTATAATTCCAATGAAAATTCCAATACTGTTATTATGTTTTAATTAGTTCAATTTAATCTTGGCATAATTATGTTGGTATATTAACAAATTTAAAATAATAGCTAAGAACTTATTATTTGAGTAATATCTAGTATTCTAGCTTCTATGGGTTATGAGTCGTGATTATAAATTAGAATTAGATTTTGAACATTGTTTTTTTTTAATTGAAAAATCAGCGGTCCATGATTTATAGGTTTTAACTAGATTTTCTTTTTTATTTGATGACTAATGACTAGGTATATATAAGTTGACTAGCCATAGACGGCATTCTTATCTTACATTACTATCTTTTATAATAAAATGTATATTCAATCATACATTCAATATCATATTCATATATATATATTGTACATTGTACAAATTACGTAGATGTAGACGAAAAATAATATAATAATACAAAATAATATGCCTTCATAGTGTATATTGCATAATATAATTATAAATTTATGTATCAATATAATTAATGTTTTATGTACCGATATATAGATAATATATTTTAATAGTTCAATGACATGTTAAATCTATATAGGTAACTGCAGTTTAGCCCAAATAACTGTATTGTTTTATACCGTAGTCATATATGGAGCATATTGTACAACATACCTAACCAATTATTATAGATAAATAGCAATATGATGAAAAAAATCAAAAATCAAAATATAATACATTATATTTATACGCAATAATACGTCTGAAACTATAATATTACAATTTTTACTTCTACCCGAATAAACAAAATATTTCGTCATTAGCAAGTAGTAAAATTGACAAGAATATTTATAATATTATCCCTACCTATGGTATGTATTTAATACTATGATATATTTTATATCATTTCCCTCGTTTTTATATCAATGGTAGCCTACGAATAACTGCAGCACATAATATACAATATTATTTATATTATTATATTAACACGAATATGCTAACTACATTATGTTTTTTTTTTTGACGTATCTAAGAGTACATTAATGTTATTATCTTTAAAATATTTGTTATTTTAATATTTTATAAAGGTAATAATATAATATATTATACTGGGTCGAGTGCTGACGACGTGCCGTCCTGTTCTTCTATACATACACTATTGTTTATTGATCTAAAAAACATAATATTATAATATTTAATTTAAGTGTATACCTCCTAACTATAACAGATATGATATGCCTAATCGTTTTTTTTTCTTTCCAGTATTTTTTGTGTTTGACTAATGCGGCCTTTTATTTGCTATAAATTATTATTATATATACTATGAATACAATAAAAATAATGTTCCTTATGGTTCCGCACTACCAAATATTAACTACAGCGGCACTCACCTATATGCAGGCCTTGAAGTCATTGTGTTAGGGAAAATTAATTGGTGCCATTTTCAACAGATAGATCAGGAGTACAGTTGGCACAACAATAAACCAATTGTGTATGTAATGTTTGTGGTAAAAAAATATATTTATATATACCTATACGTAGTATATTAAGTTTAAATAATAATATATAAAATATACACAATCTACGTGAAAATTTAAATTTTTATTTATAGTCAATTTACATATATAATACCGCGGTTGATGATGTGTAGGTACACCAAAATAATATTATAATGAGCATAATATTTAAAAATAATGTCCCACGTTTTATTTAATAGTCTAGAGTTTTTTATTCAAAACAACTCATCATACTGCAACAAAGATTGTCAATTAATTATACTATATACGTATTATATAGGTACCTACCTACGACACAATCAACTCTTGTGGACGACCATTACCTGCACTCTGTATCGCGGGTATAGATTTATTATCTATTTAACCGTGTTCTGTATACACAAAACAAATTAGAATGTTGAAGATTATATTTTGTTCAGCTTGTCAAAATGAATATTTACATAGTTAATCAACTGAAAATTAAGGAGAATAAAAATACTATCAGAAAAATGATTTATTTCCCACTTAAGATGTACTTTTCTGTAACCAGTATTTTTTTTTGTGTTTTTCAGTTTTAACACAATTTACCTATGTAATTTTAATTCAAAATCTTTCTGTTTCATAAACAAATAACAACTAACAACACTAAATGAAATATTTTCAATTGCGTTTAGACAGTTTCGGTTTTTTGCAGTAGATAAGACAAGTGCAATTAAGTCACAATAATTACATGTAATATGTCTCAATCAAATATTTAAAATCCAAGGTTATACTTTGTTACTGAATACTGATATTAATTTAGTTATACAATGGGTAATTCAATAATGGATTTATCAAATGCCAATGAATAGATTATGAAATAAAAATAATATGACAAATACTAAATCGAAATATAATATTGCAGATTTGGGAAATGAAATGTAGTAAACTTGTTAAAATATTGTACAAGAAATTGAAGGATTTTGTAATTGTATTTTGAGTAAAAGACGTATATATCTATGTACCTGCCATTATTTTTTTTACAGTTATTTATTAATCATGGACATAAGTACGCAAGTACCTACTATGATTAAATTTAACAACTAACAGTTTATATCGTAAATTGAGTAGGTATTTACAATTGACATATCATAGGTATATTGATAAGTACTTCTCTATTAAATATACGAATTTAATATTATAAAATATTTATATAAAATATATACCTATGTAGTTTTCAATATGTATGTACCTAACTAGGTTGAGGTATTTAAACTATACTGCTGGTTTATGAAAAACCATACTACCGCCTCATTAAAGCATATATAGATAACAAAGCGTTAGGTATTATCCACTTAGGTAATGCATTATTGACGAAAATATGAATAAATGGTTTGGTGTATTATATCTTCTATAATATGCTCTTGTGTTGTGATATATAATATGGTATAATATTACTATGCTCTTATATAGTTATATTATTTTTTCATATTGTTTAAATGTATTGATATCACTAACAAATAATATTATAATAAAAAAAATTACTTACAGCTTGTAACTCTTTCAGTCTATCTTTAATCATAATTGGAAAAAAAATAAATACTATTCAGTTTTGCAGCACAAACATGTTAGACAATAAAGATTAAACTAGAGTAGATAGGTACCTAACTAAACTACCAAACACATTATTATTGTGACACGCTGTACGCTCGGCGCTAACAAAACCGAAACTGACGATACACGTTTTGAAACAGTAACAACTTAATGTCACTCCCACCATGAGATTACTACGTTTTTAATTTTATGTCCATGATTCATACATTAACAATGAATAGCATGAAGTACCTACCTCAATTAACTACTGATTAAATATTAATTGTTTTGATAAGTTATCTGAAGAAAATGTTATTACACACAAGTATACAACTAATGTCAATTTATATTTTAAATTCCAGCATCTATATAATTTATAAGAGTAGATTTATTTAAACGTTACGTGCTTATTAATGTATATATTTTATGGTTAATCCCGCACAAGGGAGCACGGGGCAACGCAGTATAGGTATAGACTATAGAGCCTAAAGTTTTGACAGACCTTAAAAAACCTATTACCAACAAAAAAATTCACCTAGATATCTATTATTAAAATCATATAAAAATAGTATGTATCAATGTATCAGCAGTACTGAACGAATAGTTACCAGACCACGTTTTTGATTAATACCTGTTATTAAAATATATTTAATTTTTTTCCCCAAAAAAAGATGGGTACTTTTGACTACTATAACCATAATAATACATTATTGTTAATTGTTATTATGTCATACATTTTAGATTCTGACCAAATTTTATTATTTTAATGTTACTTTTGTTTTGTCATCAACTTTTGTAGCAGCAAAAATGCTTCAATCTTAAACTTCAATATATTTTCTGGTACAAGACTATAGGAAAGTGAACGAAGTCGGTACCTTGGGGTAAAAAAATTCATAGTACTCTTCTTAATAATTGGGAAAAACCAAAAAAATACTATTGAAAAACGAGAATCTCTACACAATGCCTGTAGTTTTTGACAAAATTAATTTTCTAATTTTTTTGTAGTTCAAAAACGAATAACCTTAGTTCCTTGAAATGTTCATCAAAAGTTTATATTAGAATTTACTATTTTCAGTTTGATTTAAAAAAATATTTTGGATCTTTATGAACTATTTGTGGACATTTGAAATTTACAATTATTTTTTTATTAATTGCACTCTGTCAAAAACCTTGAAAATTTAATACTTTTTTCTTTATAAGTTGCCCATACTTGAATAAAAAAAGTCGAGCGTTTGAAGTTGGAACTTTGATGAAATTCATCAAAATTGTGAAAATTAGCAAATTACTTTAGGATTAGAAGTTAATACAATGTTTAATAAAAACAAGTTTCTATATTAATTTTGTTTACTAGAATTATAAAAAAGTTGAGTGTTATCCTACAAATATACCGTATTTCGGTGTGAAGTTTAAAATTTGATAAACTTGGATATGATAAAATCTAAATTTTCTACCAAATGATTGTAGCTTTTCTAATGTACCTAATTCAAAGAATTTGATACTCACTAGTTTCAATGAAACTTAAACAATCGTCTTTTTTTACAATCAATGTAATTTTTAATGTTTTCTTAGCAATTTAAAGGGATTTAAATCTTTTATTTTTTTTAATTGTTGATAAAATTTATTGGGTTTAGGTTGTCACAACTTTTAAAGTGTAATAGAAGCTCCCATATAAATAATAAAATATACTTATAAATGTAGGCAATCTCCGCTAATAATAGTTTTTCGTACCTATAAAATAATTTATCATTAAATTAAAATTAAAAAACATCTATTACAGCGTGACCTACTCAAAAACGAGGTACACTCCTAACCTAACCTTACCTTCTGTACATCAGAGCGTTACGCCGTTACCTACTTGCCTGCTTTTTTTGCCTACTATATTATAACTAGTTTTTAGTGTGCAATTAGAACAAATAGTAAGAACTAAGAATTAATATAAATTGATGGATTTTAAACGTATATGAATATAGCAAATAGGTACTTAGTTTTTATTAAAAAAATCAAAAGTTGAACAATCGTTTTATGTGCGATTCAGATTGTAATTTATAAAAATTAAGCTACCTTTCAAATTATTTGAATTAATTTTTTTCATCATATTAATTTAAAACGTTTAGAGTTAAATAATACATATTATGTTTATTATTTATTAATAATTAACTTTACTAATTCAAATTTAGGGTTTTCGTGACATTGACCACCTTTATTTATATAAATGATAAGTATTAAAGCTAAATACTAATGATACTATTGTATTTACTACTTCTTATTATGTATAATAGTTTAGGTTAGAGAGTCTTTATGAGATGCAGTGGCGTATTTACAATGTCTTTCTGAGGGATTATAAAAATAGTAAAGTCTGAAAAGAATAGAATTATTTTTCAAAACTATTGTTTATTGTAACGTCTAAAGAAACGTCGATTATGCTTCTCGTCTCTCAATAAAAATTAATATTGATAGTTAATTGAATAGTTGATATTTAATTGGTATTTAAATGTAATTATTTATAAATTATAATGGGTGTTCTGTAGTTAAAATAATCGTCTTATTCGAGGTAAAATGAATTTATTGTAACTAAATCTCTCTTTTTTAGAACAAGTTTTGTATTTAAATAAGCGAGCCAATTCTTAATTTGTTTTATTTAATTAGTAATTGTATTATCTACATGTATTACTTGAAAGTACTCGATGTAAGATGACATTGTCGAATAAGTTTCCATTCCGCCTTTACTCGCTAAACTACGACACAATATTATCACATCGCCCACATCGTTTAAAAGCGAGAAGTATTACTGTTATTGCGCGTTTTTCTTATTGTGGTGTTCCTTGTAGGCCTAATCTACATTATGAAAGTGAGAATAATCAAAGACCGGTCGACTCAAATAATAATTGTGAGATATATGATAGATAGATAATTTGAAAAAAGCTTCAGCACCCCCAGTTTTTTCATTGAAATTGCGCCCCTGTGCACTTCTCGCGTATAACATAATGAGTTGTAGGTATACCTATACACGAATAAAACATATTTTAATGTAAGAGTGCAGACGTATTGAATTTAACTCTTAATAAGTTTTAATTTTGTCGCACCATGGCATTCTCACATTTTTGGATTACTATCGTTAAATTTTAGTGTGTTTCAGCCTTTAGAAAGGCGAGCTAGGTGAGATATTTGTATTTGCCACATGGTATTATATTAAGTCCAAGAGGAGTAAAAATGGGTTAAAATATTACAACACGAGTTTCAACCCGATTTATTTAAAATTCAACACTACCCTATTATAACTATAGTCGCTATAACTATATTATTATCGTTATTATATTTATCATATTTGTATTTTATAATATATCATATTTTATTTATTATCATTTAGAGATCATCAAAGTCCTATTTCTAAGTCTCCATCCACTATATAACTTTCCCTATTGGACTTCTCTATTGAGAGATTCTATATTCAGCCTGTCTTAAATGTTTCAAAACTCATTCATAAACATTGAGGTGCATATAAGTATATAACTATTTTAGATCTGTGCTCTGAGAGATATAATCCTTTGTTAATAATTGCATTCATTGTTGACGTATGATTTATGAATCTAAAAAGTGCAGGGGACTGGGGAGTACCCAGGAATTTTTCAAAAAGGAGTCCAAAGTTTTTTAACTACTAAAAATATTATACAATCAGTGGTTTACACCTTATACATTTTAAATTCTGTCAATTCATGGGGGGGGGGGGGTCCAGACCCATAAACCCCTCACTTGAGTACGCCCCTGAAACAGTGCAATGGTTTTACGTTGAAAATAAAACGAATTTATACTTTATGAACGAAACAAAACTAAAGAAAGTTTAAAAGACCTTTGAAAACTTTTAGAAATTAAAAATTAGAACAGTAGGTAATCGAAAAAATATAAATGTTATTCACGAAAGTAAAAACTGATGTATATTCAACAAATTTATTTTGAACAAAATTAAAACGGTAATAACATTAATAAGACAATTAATTAATAATAAATAAACATAGGTACTATTTACCCAGCATATTATGCATAAGCATCTATTAAATATTTAAATATGAATAACTTGGTTATGTACGTTTTATATTATGTTTATGGCCAACCAGTGTTGTAATTTCAGCCTATATAATGGGGGGGGGGGGATTTGAAACATGTACCCCCTAGCACCTCACACAAATATTCTTACTTCACTCGCCATTTAGGCGCTTTGCAGCTTCTATCAAAGTTCTCCAGTTTTCGATTTTCTGCATCCTCAATACTCGTTCCATTTCTCAATCTTTTTAAGTCATCTCTTACTCGATCTATCCAACATTGACGTGGCTTTCTCACTGGTCGTTTTTTATTTGGCTTGTTAATGAGAGCCTGTCTAATCAATCTCCCCTCTGCACGCCATACATGGCCAGCCCATTCAAGTCTTTTTGATTTCAAAAAAATCTTGTAGATTTGGACTTCGGAGTATTATACAGTCTGCTTAAGTGTGTATTTTTTTTCGGCTCACATAAATCAGTTATTGGACTTAACACAGACCCATACATTTTTCTAAGTACTTTACTTTCGAAAATCAATAGTTTGTTTTCATCGCCCTGCGTCGTGGACCATAAGTTTCACATCCATACATGACAATAGTGCGTAAGTAGGCAATGTATAGTTTTTTTCTTCGTGTCTCTTGAAAGAAGTTTTGGTGTGAACATTTTATTCATTGCGTAATACTTTCGGTTTGCTGCACTTGGCAGGATACTGCTTTTAATCTCAATATGCATATTATTTTTATGATTTATGTTAGCACCTAAATATTTAAAATTCTCGACTTGTTCAAAAGAGAACTGATGAACATTTACATTTTTAAACGGTGCTGGGTGCCTATTCATTAGCATATACTTAGTCTTATTTTCAGGTCCCATATTTTTACTTGTTACTATGATTTTCCTACAGTCTCTTCTAAATCCGTTCTTGATTCTCCGAATATTATGTCATTCACATACGCTAAAAGAGTAGTGCTTCCCAATACTTCGGTTTCTCGCTCTTCTTGCATGTATCTTATAACTCTTTCAAGAGCTATGTTGAAAAGTGCGGGAGACAGCTCATTAGTTACAAATTGTAATTTTTAGACCTACGCGTAGGTACTGTTATACTAAAGTCTCAAAAGTACAATTACGATTTTTTCCATATTAAGATTTTAGAACTGTTCAAACTTCAAAATTTGAAGTATCCTTTTATAGTTATGTTGTTTAAAATTATGTACAACTAGTAAAGGTTAACCCATGATCAGTACAGACAATAAATTACCATCTCCCTTTTCCACCAATACAGTTGTAATTTCAAAACTTTTATAGTTTTACGTAGCTACATACTCTGAACAAAGTAAGTACCTACAACTAACCTAACCCAAAATGTTCAGGAATAATTAGTTTCTCATGAGATGTGCGTACAATTGTAAAAACTACAAAATGTAATGAGTAAAAAGAAAATGTGATACAGTTAGAACTATGATTAAACCATAAATAAATTGTAAATTAACAACACACATTTCAAGATTCTTAACCATAAGACACAGATCTTATAGATATAGACTAAGCAAAAGCCAAAAGTACATTGGCCTTTGTTCAACTTGTGAACTCGTTGGTAAATTTGTTAATTGTTTGATTGTTTTATTTGGTTCTAATAAAAATTGGTTCTATGTAATATATTTCTTTTATTTAGTATAAATATACAAAAGAAGAACTAACACACTACACACAAATATATATTTAGCATATTATATGAACATTTTTTTTTTTAGAATTTCAACTAACTTGTTGAAACTTAAAAAATTCTTAAATATATCGTTAAGTATTAAAAAAAAAACAGAAGAATTAATATCAGCTTAATGTTTTTTGGAACAAATCAATAAGTGAAGGAAAAAAAAATGTATTTAATTTGAAATAATAAAAGATAATATACAAATTAAGAACTAAATTGTTTTTGTTAAGATTATTTGATCCTTTATCTTAAGATTAACTAGTTTAAATACAAAATAACATTTAATATAAAATTTATTTTTAACTTATTAAAATATACTACACATTGGACAGTATACTTGAGTGACTATAATAATAGTTCAACAAATTTTAAGTAGGTACCTTATTACATTAAGACGTTTGTTATATACTAAAACCAGTGTAACATATTATATTATATTCTATTTTTGCGTTTGTGTGGGGTTGGGCAAATATTTACATCATCTGGTGAAATTAATTCAGCTGGCTCAATCAATAAATGATCATATTGTCCATCTCTAGCTGTGGTTTCCTTAGCATGATTTGCATACTTTTTTATATAATCTACTGCTAGCTTTGTATCCACATCATTCATGTACAGTCTGTTACCCCAAGTAACAAGGACAATTGGCTAAAAATAAAAATAAAAACGTAAATACAATTTTTAATCTAATATGATCACACTCTCGAGAGGACTGGGGATAAATATTTTTGAGTATGGTTTTCTATGCAATCTACAGAATCCTAATTTGACAATAATTTTTCAAAAATTCAAAAAATTCTTTTCTTTTAAATAATTGATTTGAAACTTTTAAAATGGGCTTTTGTTTACCTTTATAAAAAATAAATACAAATACTATTGATATTAAGTTAAAAATGACTGAGTTAAAGCTAGTTTATTTGTTGATTTCCTTGAAATAATTATTAATTACATCAGTAAGATGCAAAAACAGATTTAATTTTTCCAAATTAAATTCGTTTGCAATGCCTTTTTTTCATAAATATTGCTTTAAGTATCAACACTTGGCCTTTAATCTCTTTGTAGAGTTTTGAGCACGGTTTATAATGAATACAATTTTCCAACCAATTGTAGTTTAAAAATAATTTTTTTGTAGTAAAATATTTGGAATTTGAAAAAAATTTGTTGTACCTACACTTGTAAAATTATGACTATAAAAAATAAATAATAATTTACAGTAAATTTCAAGTGTAGGTACTTCAATATCATTCTTTTTGAACCTTATTATTTTTAATTTATAAGGATGTTCGAAATGCCCTTCATTATTTAGTACCTATAAACAAATTTGTAGTTTTTGTAGAAATCAAAAACCTTAACCAGCAGTAACTTGCTCGATTTATAGTCTAATAATGGCCCAATTCATAATCTTATTATTTCAACTGGCCACAGTGAAATATATCTCCCTAACTTCTATGTCCAGTCTGATTATGCACATTCTGTATGTATCATACGAACCCTATCTTCAGGCACCAAATTATACGGAGTAATAATATGCCTGAAAAGACATGACTTTAAAACTGTTCGCATACGTTGGACTAAAACTGGATGAGTGCATGGATGGTATAACATTACAACTGATCCATGCTGAAAAAAAAGAAAATATAAAAACATAAATTATATTTTGAAATACATAGAATAAATAAAATTTAGCTATACTCTATTCCATCTAAGTTTATACATTTGACTAACTTAAGACAGTCACCGTTGAACAACCCCTCCCATAAACACAGCGGTAGCTTTTGAAAATGAAGAGTAATGTTGGTTACTGAGTAACAGCTACCGATATGAGTGAATGAGGGGTCACTTCTTGTGAATCAGTATGTGTGTGCAAAAGAGGGTAAACTTGGATGGAATAAAGTATAGTAGCGATTGGTCTGATACATACCTCTAAATTGTGTAACCATCTTTGTTTTGGTAAAAATTTATATTCGCCATATCTGGCCCAAGCAGGACGATGTGAACCACTATCAAACATTTAAAAAAACACATAATATTACATTGCATTTTTAAGTCATTAGCATGTGGTTAGCATTACTTTTAGGATTTAACCCTTATGCCGGGTTGCATGGAAAATTAATTAATTTAATGGACCAATTATGGTCCACCAACAGTGGCGGTGAAATGGAGGATGGACCTACCAGATCTTTTTTCAATGTCTAAGATCTGATAACCATAAGTTATATTTTTAATCATCAATTGACAAATAGGGCATGTTAGAAAATCAGCCATACCACTATGACAAAATTATTTGACTGCCACTGGTCAATCATGTTAAAGGGTTCACTAATGATTCATTAAATGTTTGGTAATTGGTCATGCAACCGGGTATCAGTGTACCTATTAGCTAGTCATTGGGTAAAATAGTATATTATGTTGTATTAGGATTTAGAACGGAGAAAAATATATTAAAACTTTAACGATCAGACAATTTAAATAACACCTGAATTGAAAACAATTAATTTTCTATACAACAGATTTTCATGATGAACATAATACTATTTCACATAAAATGTTATTTTGAAAAACATCACTTAGGTATCTTATAGCCTAAGGGTATACTTATGATCTAGTTAAGTATAAAAAAGTTAAGAATTTAAATATACAAATAAGCAGGTACTTACAATGAGGGAATATCATGATTGTAAGATATTGATTCTTTCATGCACACATGATTAGCCTACAAAAGATGATAATGATTAAACTTTAAGGTGCAAGAAAATCTAAATTTAACTATACAATAAAAATGAAATACATAATATTTTATTATTGATATTAATATTACTAATTCATAATAAATAGATGAAGTTTCAACACCTAAATCATCAAGCATCAGTGGTTCAGTGGTAGAATGCTCGCCTGCCACGCGGGCGGCCCGGGTTCGATTCCCGGCTGATGCAGAAATTTTTGCATTTTTTTACACGTAAAGATATTATGGAAGCAATGAAGAAGTTTTTGTCCTTTTTATGTGAATCGGAAACGAAAACCAATATAATTTCACCAAATAACTGTACCAACTTTCTCAATCTCTGATCATTGGTAATTAAAAATAAACTCGTAAACTATTTTTTATAGAAACCGCTCTGTTGAACAATAGGTGACGAGTGTACTTCGTCATTGAATAGGTCACTATTATCTATTATAATATTATATATATGTTAAATTTATATTCTGCATGTGTGAAACGATAATGTTAGTCTTGTGAGTTGTGGGTCAGAGCATAGATGGATACAAACACACATCACATTATTTTTAAAAAGTGTTAAATGTTTATTATTATAATGCCAGAATAAAAAAAACTGTAGAACATTTATGTTTCGGTTTAAACTTTAAATAATACTTGATGCTGGCTCAATAAGCATTTAAATAATTTCAAATGTTAAATAATTTTAACACTATATTAAAATCTACAACCTACATATTATATTGCCTAATGGCAAATACTCAGAGAAAATATGCCACCTATTAGGCGTTTATTAAAAAACTATCAAGGTTGTTGTTATTATTATTTATCAGTTGTGAGTATGAATGCCCAAAAACATCATTAGACAAACTCAAGGCAAAATTTATAAATCTGAAAAATAATATTGTTATTTTCAGTAATTGTTATTTAAGAGGATGCTACCCACGACTTTGTTTTCTCCGTCTTACCAACTTCCAATATAGCAAATTTTCGTTCACTCGAGTTTGAATAGTGTGGCATTAGTTTTGATATTAGAGTGAATTTAAGTACTATCAAACTTTTAGGTATGAACATTATCAAACCTTAAGTATCGGCAGATTTTACATGTAAAATAACACACATCAAAAATGCTCATATCTCGATTGAAAATTAAAATATCCAAAAATCCACAAATGCGTGGATAGCATCCTCTTAAAAGCAAAATTCACTAATGATAAAGTGTTATTTAAGAATATTTACCACATAATATTTAGGCACTAAATCTCTATCCAATAATGGTCGAATATCAGATACCGGCAAAGCATCACTCAACATGCACGTATAATTGTAAAATGATCCATCCCAATCTCTTGTCAAATTTGTCTAAAATTATGTAAATAAATAATCATGAATCTTTGTAAATTGCATAATATTCCTATTTTGACAAATAAATTATAGTTAACTTTTTAACACAATGATAACTAAAAAATACAATAATATTGTTGTAATATCCTTCAATATTCAATTTTGTATTTTTTTGTTGAAATTAAAACTTATTTGTTATCTTTTAAATTTTAAATAATTTATGTTTCCATAATTAGAAGAAGTACAGTAAAATATATTTTTTAATAATATTACTAATATGAAAAAAATCAATTGAAAGTATTAATAAGCTATGAATATAATTATATAAATTATGACAAAACCTTTCCATCGTCACACGTAGAATTGATATCCATAGATCCCATTGTTACCATGCTTTTCTTTTGTTCCGGCACAGTATACACAGCAAAATCTTCATTTTCAGTAACAATTTTTGAGATACTACCATAATTTTCTTCATGTGAACGGTCGGGTAAATATCTACCAGTCCACCTGTAATTTAAAAATTAAATTTATCTAACTATATTACAAAATACAAAATTATAAAAATTATATAAAATAACTATACTGCTAACTTTTGAATATTAGAAGACAGATTTTAATACTCTGTACAAATCTAAATATTAAGTTTTCATACATTATTTTAAAAATAAATTAAAATGTATACAACTAAAAAATGTTTCTACATTTTTCAGTTTTGTAATAAGAATTTAATAATCAAACATTTGTTTTTAGTAATAATTATTTCATTTTATAAAAATGAATACATTTTGAAATATACTAAGTAGTAAAAACTTTAAATCAACAAAATCATTTTGCTAAAAAATAAACAAATTTTTGTAAATTAAAGACAAAACTCAAAAGTTATTCTTGTCACTTTCTAGTTATGTGTTTGTTTTTGATAGTTTGATATGCCATTAATATTTATACACACAACCTTAAAATATATGTAAATATATAATTTAACTAAATAATTAAAACGTTGACTGACTTTTTGTGTTTATCGGAGTTATCAGAAGATTTTACATTAATAACATCAACTGGCATTGGTACATCTGAAAATAAAATATGTTTCATTATAAATATTCAATATGAAATGTACAAAGCAAATCATCATTAAAAAATTCAAAATTCTGTGATTCTTATTTAGTTGGCACTAGTATGTATTCTTATATATTTGGAAATAATATTTATTCTTAATGAATCGTGAATGGAAAAAAAACCCACCCAAATAAGTCCAAGGAAAAAAATTTAAATATAATATAGACACACATTGTGTAATAAATTAGAATTTACATTCAGTCATTAAGCCGTAATGATATAATATAGAACATACAGTCAATAACATCAGTCTTAGGTATATACTATGTTTATACAAAAATTATACAATTATAAAAATAATGATATAATAAGTCTCTGCAAAACAGTCGGTAGTACCTAAAATATTGGTTTGTTGCTCAAGTTCAATACAAGGGGAAAGGATACACACCAGTCGACCTATTTTTTTTTATTCATCTTAGTAACACCAGTTAGTAGTGCATTAGTTATTATTATTACTTATGATTATTATCTGTAAGTATATGAGGTACTTATTAAGTATTATTGTATTATGCTTATTCAAATTATATTATTTCAATAAAATATTTTTAAAATATAAAATAGTACAACTGCATGGCACTCGTATGCACTTTTATTTCCATGGGCTTTTTTCTACCATTCTTACTATCTTATAATAAATTAAGTATTTTATATTTTCATAAAAATACTTATTCGTATCTACTAACAATTACAATATAACATTTTTTTACAGCCATTTAATTATCATATAAGAGAATGATATAATATTAATGATTATTCTATTATGTATTAACCTATTTTAAAATGTCTATGTTATTTTATTTAAAGTCTGTAAACAATGTTTTCAAAACATTGCGATAAGAAAGTTGATAAATGCTCCCCCATACATATCTAACCATACTCTCCATATAGACTTAAAACTAAAAACTATCCACGAGGAAGCCAAACACTTTTATAAAAGATTCCACAACCGTCTTTCCTCCCATTCAAATCCTTTTATTTTTAATTTTTAACCTTTCCTCCCTCTCAATCCCCGGCAATCCTCCTAGGCGATTAAAACGTAAATGGTGCAGAGACCTGTTACAAATTTTAATTTAGAAATTTAAAAAAAAAAAAAAAAAATTAAAAAAATTAAAAAATCAACATTAAAGTGTCATCATTGGGTGGCTTCTTTATTCACTTTTTGTTTTTGTATACTCATATTTTTTGTACCTTTATCATATATACTTATTGTGTCATATTGATATAGATCGTATATTTCGACTTTAAAAAAAAAAAAAAAAAAAAAAAAGTCTGTAAATATCTCAGTATTAAAAATGTAAAATGTTTAATATTATTCACCAAAACTAACTATAAAATAATGCAGAAAGGCACAGAACAATAGTGCTAAATGCCAATCATTCAGTGACTACTAAACTAAATTCATTTAACCACTTACTGTGTTCCTGTAATTGAAATGAAGTTCCTTTTTCAATTGCCAAAGTTGATAAACTCAACAACACTAAATGTAGAACACAGAAACATTTTATTAACGAAAACATAATGTTCAGGTTTCACTAAAATAGGTAGTAATAACCAAACACCAAAACACTAAAATGAAATGATTAATGATTAGGCATCTTCATTAAAGATTTGACGATACCAACTAATTGTAAATGTAACTGCTCATTAGTGCTCAATTAAGCATGATAATAATTAAGATTGAAGAAAACTTTCTCAAACAATTCGAAAATTAAAATGTTACCGAATGGTTACTCTAAAAGTCTAAACACCTAGGTTGTTTTGGTTTTAAGACCATTAAATTCCTTATCACTTAAAAATTTGATAAAAATTTGATAACTGGGTAAATGATAAGGAATTTGTCAAAGCACTTTTAAATATAATTATAATTACGAATTTTAATGAAATTTATTATTTGATGAAAGAAATGTACTTAAAATGTAACTAAACTACACAATTTATTTAATTAAATACATCATCATATTTTGTTTCTATGAAATTACATTTATTTTGAATTTTAATATTATTATAGTAGTCCAGTTCGTTTCCTCCTTGACGTATCTGCGCGTCACCGACCACCGTCGATTGAGGTTATAAACAAATCTACAATTTTTCTCTCCTTGATTCTTTCACTGTAAAGTTGTGTTCGCGTTACTTCATTTAGTTACATCAACATCCTTTTATATTTTATAATCCGGTAAAATGCCACCTAAAGGTGAAAAAAAAGGTAATTATACACATATTTATAATATTACTACTATACTAAAGCTGAAATAAATATTTTTATGAATATTCGATGATCCAATTTGTGCCGTCGCTATAAGCACATGGCCTGCCACCATATTATTTCCTCGGCCAGTCCCATTAAATAATTTAATTAATTCGTTCAAAACGTGGTAATTTCGTGTTTACAAAATACCAAGTTTTATTTGTGTGCTATTAGTCATTATATAAAGTTTATCAAAGTATTCGTGACAGACGCCATTCGTGTCTAATGAAAAGTTTCGATTACCTTAAACGAAAATTCGGTACTAAATATTGTCCATGTGCTACTTACGATTCTTCAAGATAAGTTGCTATTGTTAGATTTCTTTAATCTATTGTTCACACTAGAATATGGTGAATTTTGTGTTCAATTATTAATTACCTACCTATGATTAATTGTTTAGTACATACTACATATCTTATGTATTTTAATTTTATTTCACATTTATTCATAGCAACAACCTACATTGATATTACAATTACTAAAATGAAGTTCTATATTCTGAGAATACATCCATGATGAGCCTGAAAATAAATACACAAACATGAGAGATTAGATAGGTACTTGCTAAACTAAATTGTAATATTCCTGATTTTCAAGGAAGAAATTGTAGCATTTGATAGGTATTTGTTCAAGAAGTTCTATGGGCTATAAACCAACAAAATGTACAGACTTACTTGTGCTTATCGCTGACTTTGATTCAAATCTACAAATTGTCTTTAAAAATATAATTTTTGTTATTAGGGCAGTTAGGTACTTATACCTATATACAATATTTATATTAATATTTTTAAATTTGCTATAGATACCTACACTAATTGTATTTTTTGTCTAAACATTCATTAAATTGTTTGAGATAGGTACTATAGTATACTTGCTCATGCCTTCAATACAAACATTCAACTTGTATTTAATTTTTCTCATACTTCTTTGGTTTATTATGTACATTATAAGTAAACTATTTCAGTCATGTAGAAAATAAATTGTTTTGTTCCTAATAATTAAAATTTATATGTTTATATATGAAATGAATAAAAAAAAACTAGAAGAGTTGAGTTAATTTGTTATTAATGTCTAATACACTAGTAGGAATGTTTTATTTCATAGCTTATCAATTCAAACTACCTAAATCTATATGAATATATTAGTAATATTATTTTACTATGCTAACCACCTGATTTTCATTATTTTAGCCAAACCCGCTGCTTCAGGCAGTGGTGGTGGAGATAAGAAACCATCAGGTAGTGAAAAGAAGCCTGCAGCTGCTTCATCTGAAAAGAAACCAGAAAAGAAGCAACCTGCACCAGCTCCTTTACTTGATGCCAAAAAACCCGCCGAAAAGAAGACTGCAGACAAAAAACCTGCAGCTGATAAAAAACCAGCTCCCGAAAAGAAATCTGCCCCCGAAAAAAAACCAGCTCCCGAAAAGAAATCTGCTCCTGAAAAAAAATCAGCTCCTGAAAAGAAACCAGCAGACAAGAAATCTGCACCAGCTGCCGCTGACAAAAAACCCGCAGATAAGAAGAATGAACCTAAAGGTAAGGCTGAATCTTCCAAGAAGGCTGATCAATCTAAACAGGGTAAAACTGCCGACAAAGGTACCAAACGACCATCTACTGAAACCGAAAAGCCTGGACCTGCTCCTAAGAAATCTACAGCCAGCAAAGCCGCTGATAGCAAATCTAAGAAAGAGCCAGAAAAGGCCAAAAAAGAAGCAACCAAGAAGAAGGCCGCCGACGCACCCAAATCTGCTCCAGCAGCTAAAAAAGCAGCAGCTGATCCAGCTGCTCCTAAAGCACCAAAAAAAACTGTAGCCAAAAAGGACAAGGCCAAGTCAGCAGCCAAACCTAAGACAGGAGATAAGAAAGAAACCAAAGCTGCTGATAAAACCAAGAAACCTCTTAAAGGTAAATCAGCTGCAGCTAAGAAAATGATCAAGGGTGCTGCAGCTGCTGCTGCCGCTAAGCTGAGGAAAGAAAAGAAAGCTGATAGTGCTAAGGGTGTGAAAGGCGTTGGAAAACGTGATGCTGTAAAGAAAGCACTGAAGTCCAAAATTAGGGTAAATTAAAATTAAATATCATAATTATTCTTATAACCTAACCTAACCTAACTAAGATTTTTGTACTGTATTTGTTTTCTTTCTAACCCATGCACATACTACCCTTACTGATTACAAATTAAATTCTATTTATTTTTTAGACTTTAAAAGGACCTCATGGGACTAGAATTCGCAAGATCAGGTATTCCGTCCACTTCCGTCGTCCTAAGACTTTCCAGCCACCAAGGAACCCGAAATACCCAAGGAAATCCGTTCCCAAGAGAAATAGGTAAATTAGATTAGTTAACTGTTTATAATTGAAGCCATATGCTGAATATTATCTTTAATATATATATGGTTCTATAATTAGGATGGATGCTTTCAATATAATCAAATTCCCCTTGACAACTGAATCTGCAATGAAAAAAATTGAAGACAACAACACCTTAGTCTTTATTGTACATTTACGTGCCAATAAGCACCACGTAAAAGCTGCAGTTAAAAAGATGTACGATATCAATGTGGCCAAAGTCAATACTTTGATCAGGTAATTCACATAATATACATGGTTTTAGTTTTTATGTTATTTATTATTCCTTTAGAAGTTGTGTGATGATTTAATGAGAATCTCTCAGAAAACTTTAATTAATCTTATGATTGATACAACTATTAACTGATAATTTCTAAATATATTTTCTTACTACTTATGCAATAGTTTTATTTTAAGTAATACATATTTTGATAATTTATTTAATGTCATAAAGTTTAATGTATATGATGACTTAATGAGAATCTCTCAGATATTTTAAATTATATGATTGACATATTTTTGTCTGATATAATAATATTAACTAGGTGCTCTATATCAAAGTGTAACAGATAGACCTGACCAAAAAAAAAAAAAAAAAAATGGTACCTTAACATAAGACAACATTTTTTAACAGATTATAGTTAGTAAATAATTAAAGAAATATACTCATGTCAGCAAATTTCATAAAATTATATTTTGATTAAAAGTTATTAGGCTCCAATTGAATTTAATCAATAAAATATTGATATTTTAAAAATTAACTAACTAGCCTTAGATAAATGTTATTACCATCATAATTGTTCTTATAATCAGATTCATAAATTGGCTATTTTCTAAAAAACATTTAGTTTAATTTTAAATTTTTTATATTCAATATTGAATTTATTTTTATTAAAGATGTTGTGCAAGTGACTATAAATTATATATAATAAAAAATATTAATTATAACCAAAGTTATTGCATTAGTCAGTTCTTTCTGTTATACTGTATATAAAAATGAGATTTTAACTGTCTAAATAAAATGATGACTTTGAGAATATCAGATATTACAATTATTTGTAATAAATGATTGAACAATTTGTGCTGATAGTTTTTGATCAATTTATATATACTAATTGGTATTTACTATGATAAATTTATAATAATGAATTTACTGTGTAAAACTGTAAAATACTCAAGATATTTTGTTTATCAAAAAAATAAGTATGATAAATATTACAATGTTATATGATGACTTATTGAGAATCTCTCAGATATTCAAAATGATTGACAAATTCATGTCTGATAATACATTTTGATAACTCAATAGCTTTTTTAATTTAATTGATAAATACTTAGTTTATGCAAGCAATTATTTAATTACATGATGACTTTGAGAATATCAGATATTACTTGTAATAAATGATAGAACATTTGTACTGATATTTTTTAATAAAATATGGCTAAATATTATTGAGAAACTACTGTTCTTTGTTGTTGTGTATTTGCTAATAATTAATATTTAATTTTTAGGCCTGACGGTAAAAAGAAGGCGTATGTTCGATTAGCTCGAGATTATGATGCATTGGATGTTGCGAACAAAATTGGTATCATATAAACGTCTGATTGTTTCATATTTACTTTTATTTTACTAAAATAAAAAAAAAATTAAAAAATCCAAAATTGCATTCCATTACTTTGTACCTACCCAGCTTACGTATTATTAAATTATCAAAAAGTAAGAAAGTTAATTTTCTAACTAGTGGTTAAGATGAAGGTTGTAATTATTTCATCTTCATTATTGACCGGTACCAGGCCTTAATCAAATGTTCATGTTACACTCCTGGTGTTGTGCCATCCATTTATCTTTGATATCTTCAGTTTTTGAAATTGAACCGAAGATACTCGATATTTGAGTATTATATCCGGAATAGGATCAATGCAGTTTTAAGAGTGATCACTTTCACTGTGCAATGAATGGAACAAGTATTTTTGATAAGCATATACGGTTTCTATTCATCGCTTACCGTTCTAAGAATAATCTCTTTGAATAATTGGAATGAACTTTTCGCTATCACGAAGTTCAACTACAAAAAATCGTGCTTCGATCTAAATCTCATCATTTCATAATAACCCAAACACCGGGACCTTCTTAATTTATAAAATTTGACAGCTACCATAACGTTAGTTATTAATTATAATGAACCCATGTTAGAACTAAGAAATAGAAAGTTCATTATGAATATTACAAACTTTAATAACAGTTAATCGGTTTTATTATCATTGGTATCTAATATTTAGTAAAGATATAGGTAGGTATTCATTTAGCTGTACACGTTATTATTTAATATTACATACTTAAATAAGTTTATCAAACTATATCGTAAATGAATTAAATTTATGTCACACCGTAAACGTTAAAATTTAGATCTCTCGTTAGATCAATTCCAAAGTCCATTGTTTCCATAGCAACTTATCAATAATATAGTGGTATTAAATATCAAATTGTATTTAAATGACATTTGTCGTTCGACGTTTATGCTAAGTTCGAAGGCTTCAATTATGATTTTGATAGAAACGACGATCATATTGCTTGTTGAAATGTGGCTCGCGGTCGCCGAAAATTATGGCACGTTTCTGCTGTCCGGTTCCAACCTCGAGTGGCCGTCGGTGGCCGAGGAGAGCAGCGACATACTGTTCGGCCGGTACGAACCGCGCAAAATTCTCGTGCACGGGTTCCAGATGGACAACGAGCGCGCCTACGTGGCCATGCCAAGGTTCATGAAGACCGGCGTGCCATGGTCGCTCGGGGTGTTTCGGTTGGATGTGATGGACTTCGAACCGGACATCCGGCCGTATCCCGATTACAGTAATTACGGGTCGTGCAGCGCCGGTCGCACCTCAACGTGTATCGTCAACGTAGTCGACGTGTTCATAGAAAACGGCGTTCTGTGGGCGTTAGACACGGGCACCATCAACGTGCTGTGGAAGCCGTTGCGCCAGGGCCCGCCGCAGTTGATCAGCGTCAATCTGACCACGCACACTGTGATCGGATTCACTGACTTGTCGGCCATCACGTGGCCGAACAGCGTCCTCGAGTACGTGGTGGCGGTACGCACGTCGTGCGGACAGCTGAATGTGTACGTGTCGGACGTTGGCCGGCACAAGATCATCGTGTACGACGTGGACGCCGGCCGGTTGCACTCGATTCAGCTGCCCGAGACCATACCGGTGGACAGTCACCGACGCGCCGTTCTGCACCTTGTGCCCGTCGGCGTGGCCGGCCGTGGTTACGTGTACTTCACGTACCGACACAGCGGCTACATGTTCGCGCTGGATGCGTGGTCCCGCGAGAGCGTGACACACGGTGCTGTGTCCGAGGTTGGCGTCAAGCCGGTGGGCATGCACGTGCTAGGCTCGGACAGGGGCACCAACGTCTACTTTCGGACGGCTGGCGACGGTAACGGCAACGACGTATGGGCGTGGGACGTCAACCGGCCGCTGGAAGTGCGCAGCTTCGTCCTCGTCCACCGCAGCTACTTGTACTTGACACCGACCGCCGTAGTGGCCGGCTGGCGGAACGCGGTGTGGACGGTCGAGTCCAACTACTATGAGTACACCTCCGGCAACGTAGACTGCACCGGTCCCAGGAGTCTGTTGCGGCCCCTGAATGGCGGCGCGGCCGACGACACCAACGAGGTCTTGTAGATTTTACGATCTCGGCGATATTGATTTGTTGTCCCGACTCTACTTTGGGTCGATCGTAGCAATTTAGTTTTTTAAGTTTAATTTCATGTCATGGTCATGATGATCATTTTTTGCGTTCCCGAGTGGTGTGGAGAAATTCATCTTGTTTATTCGTTTATGATGTCGGTGTGGTAAAAAACAGAAACTCTCGACATCAAAGTTATAATATTATGCATCGTGAACTATCACTTTGAAATTTTAAAGTTCGATTATTTGATTCAATTTTCCTACTAAAATAAACTGTATTTATTACACATTGTTTTAAGTATTTGAAGTGACCAATAAGAACCCTACTCTCTGATACTTTATTTAATTTATTATGATTACATGTAACAATTTAGTTCACTAGTCAGGTACCTAATTTAGTAATGTCCAGTGACGAAAATCATATTTTTTCAGGGGGGGGGGGGAAATCTAGAAATTTACGAGCTGGAATCGTCTACAATTCCAAACATGTCTACTATTTTAGGGGTTAATTACAAAATATAAGTATGTATAATGTATAACTTCTACCGGCCTGTGATTATACGTACCACAAAAATATTCGGAAGTGTGGGCAAATGCCCCGCGCCGACTGCAGAGGATTTGCACCACTGCTAACATCCTCACCTAGCGGCTAGCATAATAGCACGTGTTTTATGCATAAGTTGAAACAATAAAATTCTTTAATTGAAATTGTTTTAAAAATATTGTATCAGAATTGCAGAACCCCTTATAATCGTTTCTGCGCTGTACTCTATTCGAGATTCTCCTTGCTTTGTTCAATCATCTTAATGGTTAGATTAGATACCAGATAGGTGATATTATTACACCTGACTTGGTCCCCATGGCTCTATATATTTACTATATTATAAATTAAATTCGATTAATAAATTATAATCTTAATAAATATCTAATACAACTATGCTACTCTCTAAACCTAACCTCTAAAAGTCGGAACCTATATTGTGTCTCTACTATTGAGAAAAAATCTAAAATAAAATCTTTTTTTGATTCCGGTTGAAGCATTTGAAAAAGGATTAGTTTAGATTACGTGACAACAAAATAAGTGTTCCGAGTTTTTGACGAATTAGTGAAAAACTGGTACCTGAAAATTATAAGCACACGGCGCTATAGCTAGGCTATTTATTTACACCACAGTTGTTTAATGTTTTGGTTTGTCATAGGTAAATACTAGATAGTAAATACATTGGTCATACCTCATGGCTCATACACACAAATATTAAAGCAAAAGTAAACCAAAATTTGTATACGTGTCAATAACGCTATGTGTAACTTACGTACACACCTTTTACATTGTACTATAGTATGCAATGTCCTAACTTAAAAAAATACAAGTAAAAAAAAACAGTAAACATTAACTATTGCCTATTGGTACGGAATTTGATTATTGAATCATTTGTATAAAAGTGCAACGAGATTACGTCTAGCTGGTACTGGTACCTACCTAGCTTATATAGCCCCCCCCCCTTGGTTAGCTGTTCAACCTCCCAAAATTAAATCCTATACACCATATACGTCACTGGCTAGTACCAGATGCAGTGGTGTACTTAGAAATTAGAATGTTTCAATGGGGGGGGGGGGGGCTTGAAAATAAATAATTACCTACTCAATTTTCTGAGTTGTCACAAGATTAAATTTGAAAATTAAAATGGGTGTTTGATGTTGATAATATTAATTTATTTAAAATCACATTATTGAACGAAACATCTAAAATATACAATGAGTCAATACCTTTTTTTCCCCCTTTCAAAGATCAGGAACGAGTGAGAACAACTGTTTATTACAATACGACCACCAGTTCCCGTATCGTTTATTCTGTTATTCACCAAAATATTATAAGTTATAGTAATTAGTAGTTATACATAGGTGGAGGCCTCTAGCCACCCAGAAAAGCTGGACTTCGGCCTACAGAATAACAAGAGTCTTACCCTACCCATCCACATTTTGCCCGTCTGTTGTGCTCTGCAGTCTCCTTCTGTCCGAGTATCGTCTCCACCATCCTGCCAAACGTTAGCCTCAATCCGCCTCCTCCTCGATTTATCATCTGGGAGAAGCTCTTGCTCAGGGCCATCAAATGGTATCAGAGACAGCCACAGACCGTAGTCGCCGACCAATGCACTGCTCCATCTCAAGCCTATCTTCCGTCCAGTACGGACAGTGGAACAGCTTACGTTCCACTGAGTTCTCCGGCTCCTCGCAGTGGTTGCAGCGGGGATTAGCCACCCTCTTACAATGCGTATCTAATTATCTGTGTTTATAATATATATTTACACGTCGATCAATACGCCAAAAAGTTATTGTGAATCACAAATTATAACGAAAACGCAGCAATACATGCTTGCTTTTGTTTATAAACTCAAAAATTATAGTACCTACCTATGTGAATCTATGAATCTTCATGTTTTTGTAACTTTGACTGATGGCTGGATAGCCAAATGACAAATCTGATTCAATCACAAATTTATCTACCATTATTTATTTTACTATATTACAAACAACATACGTTAAAAGCAGGTCATGCAATTATACAAAGTAGAATACAAAAGACATAAAATTTACTACCTTTATGATTTATCATCGTGGTAATTTGCACTGTCTTCACTACGTGGTGAAGTAATTAAAAAAAGAAGAACGATTATTTCATGCTGTATACTCATATGATTATATATTTTTCTTTCCATCAAATGTGGCCATCACCACATCATAAACGATTTATGTGAATTTTAAATAGTGTTCTAACTTTAAACACCAAACACTAAATACTATAACCATCGGGCCATAAAAATATTACGCCTACGAAAATTATACGCGCCAGGGACCAATCCCCGTATTTACCCTACTAATTCCGCCTTTGTAATAGGGGGTGCTGCTGTTGTATATTAATTAATATTTTGTGAAATAATATAAAATTATTCTTGGTGTTGTTGCACTAAAAACGTATAATTATTTATTATTAAGTACATAATATATTTTAAGCATTCGTTTGAAGCATGCATACCTACTCGTGTGGTTTTCATTATGCTTAATATATGACTAGGTAAGCAACCTAATTTATTTGTAATGTTTAATACACACGTTGCCTCAGGGCTTAGGTTACACAGCCTTACACTAAACCTATTCACAGATTGCAAACACATAGGTTAACCTACTTTAGGTATAGTATACATGTTTAGTCATCATTTAAAATGTAGTTAGCCTATGCAGGTATTTAAAATAGATAGTCATTAGCAGGGCTGTGAATTTAATGCATTTGCATGTTTTTTTTGCTACACTTTATAAAAAAATGGATTCGGCCAAATTTGTTTTGACTTATTTGTAGTTCAAATACCAAATTTTATTTTGCATATTTTTGCATATTTCATGGGTTAGGGCATATAAATGCATGTTTTAATAATTTTTTTGTTTAAATGCTTTTTTTCGTAATATTTACATTTTTTTGGTCAATCTTATAGTATAAACTATAATTTTTATAGTTTTATCGAAATTATTCTATTGTTACAAACAGTACTCAACAAAAACAAAGGGTTTCAAATTACGTGTAATATTTCAAAAATATTAACTGGTGAAAAAAATGACGTAGATTTAGATAGGTATACCAGAAGATTTAACCAGTAGCGACACGACGTATTTCAAGTTTGCCCCAATAACTTCGTCAGCCGTAGAACGCTACTTTTCTTTATATAAAACTTTGTTGGACCAAATAGAAGGTCTTTCAAGTTCGAAAACCTGAAGAAATCATTGGTTGTTCAATGCAATAACTACTTTAAAGGTAAAATATATAATTTTAATTATATTTAATTATAATACTTACATAATTTATATTTCTTTTATAGATCTTGCACACGACGAAGACCAAGACTAGTTAAGATCAATAACTCATATATTTATACCAAGAAGTAAAAATACCAATATTTAAACTAAAATTAATAAAAAAAATTATACTAATGAAAAAAAAATAAAAATAAAAGTTTAATTTTTGTAGTTTTTTATTTTGCATATTTTAAGAATTTTCATAGCATATTTTGTCAGATTTTAGTGCATATTTTATAGTTTTTAAGTGCATTAAATTCACAGCCCATGTCATTAGTCATTACACATATATACTCATGCATATTAAGTACCTACTTATGTACCATATTAGGTATACATACATTAAAGCTTCCATGCTATGGCAGTAATCCATGTGTAATAACAAAAAGCGTAATAAGAAGTTTAATAAGTTAAATAAAAAGCATTGTTCAGTTCATTCAAAATGTCAGCACTTTTTTTTATATGTAAGTAGGTACCTAATAGGTATCATTCATCACACCACAAGAGGAACTAGGTACTTAGGTAGTAGGTACTACCTAGGTGGGAACATTTGTTTAAATAAGAAAATCATTTAATTATAAGTGATCAATAAATGTGTTAATAAGATTGTTAGGTAGGTAGGAATAACTTATGATTAATTAGAGCATAATTCATTTTGTTTCCGGGTTATCAAGTAGGTACCTCCCTAGTTTTTTCAAAATTTTTTTTTGAACCTAGTTGGTACTTATCTTCTTATTATCTTATACACCTTTTTTTTTCTTTAAACTTTGCCGGTATTGCTTCAGGTTACCTATTCAGTATTTATTACTATTTTGTTACCCCATAAGTAAAGACCGGATTTATATGCATTTAAAATGTTAAAATATGCATGCAAATATGCACTTAAAAAGTTCTGAATATGCACTTAAAAATCATAAAACATGCAAAATAATTTTTGATTATTACAGCTTTTTATTTATGGTAAAATTATAAAATCAAAACATTTATGACGAAAATATGCACTTAAATATCACAAAACATGCAAAATAAATTTTTATTACCTATTACAGCTTTTCATTTATGGAAAATTTATAAAATCAAAACATTTATGATGAAAAAAAAATAATAAACTACAATATTATATACAATATATTTTATGAATTTATGATTGTGATAAAAAATATATAATTTATTTGTTATTGGAAAAACAATAAGTAACAATAATATGTTCCATATTGATCTCAGTTAAATTATGACGGCGATTTGTGACAATATGTTTGTATGCAGAAAAACTTCGTTCCACATCAACACTTGTTATGGGTGCATATTTAAAACTTGACAACATTTCCGGGGAAAAGTGTTTGATAGAAGAACTTAAGTCAACATTCTCACCTTGGTGTATTTTAGAAATTTCTTTTAAAATTAGCAGGCCTTTGTTTTTTTTAATAATGTCGGAACATTTTTTTTTAATTAATACGCTATTTTCATTTTCTGAAAGATTATTGATAGCATTTGTAACTTGTTCAAATATTTCTAAAGCATTTATGAGTAGCAAACCTGAAGTCTCAAGCTTTTTAATACTTTCAACAATAACCGAAAAATTTGTTTTAATATAAGTTAAATCGTTAATTATATTTGATTTAGTTAGAATTTGCTTACAGTTTTTAATGCTTTTTACATCGTCTTCTGGTAGGCTTTGTATAACATTTTTAAAATTTTCGAAATTATCTGCATAAAATATTGCTGATTCTAACCAAGCACCCCATCGTGTTATTATAGGTTGGGGCGGTAATGGTTTATTAGGTAGCATTTCATGATATAATTGAATTCTATAAGGAGCTTTCAAAAAAATCTTTTTTCCGTTGTTAATTAAATCGTTTATTTCATGAAAAATATCCATAATATTTTCTGCAATCCGATGAATCCCGTGAGCAGCACAAGTCACATGAATAAGATTGGAATAAAATGGTTTTAAATTTTTGGCAGCCTTAACCATATATGGGGCTGCATCGGATAACATCAACAAAACTTTTTCGTCATTACCTCCCTCTGGCCATTTTGGCATGATATTATTGGCATTATTCTATATTCTGACATTATTGGCATTGTAATTTAAAAACACAAACAATGTTATATAAAATTAATATGTGTTTATTTAGAACTACGTTGACGTCGTTGACTATTGCCGAATGTACACTTCGAACTACAGTCGTTAGTCTGTCAGTCTGTGTTCTGTAGTATAAATAAACGATAGTCGATAACTTGATAATGTTAGATAAGATAAAACTATACGACGGGAAAATCAGTATACAATCTGCCTATTATATTTTTAAAAATATTTTCAATTTTTGTGTTTTGAACAAATTTGTGTATAATAATGGTACATACAGTTATAAAATTAAATAAAAATATTTAAATATATACGTAATATGCAAAAACATGCATTTTTATGGAAAATATGCACTTGTACCCAAAATATGCAAAAATATGCAAAATAAAAATTTGTAACATTATTTGTTTAACTATGATTGATGAAAATCCATTTACTGCATGTAATAGCTTATAAAAATATGAATATGCATAATATGCTAAATCCGGTCTTTACCCATAAGGGATCTGTTTTTTTTTTAACCATCATTTAAGTAGATAAATAGTGTCATACAAAGTATGTATTTCTGATCAAATTAATAAGCACCTAGATAAATAATTAGGTAGGTATGTAAAAAAAATTGTAAATAAGTTAACCTATAAGAAGTTATTGTTGGTACCCCATAAGTTTTTATTAAATACTTTTAGTTTCTCTTATAGGTATCTTTACTATAGTGTACAGTTTGAAAATATCTACTTTATTTACAGTATTTTAGATTCTGAGCGCTCTGCTCTGTTCAGACTTCAGAGCGATGAATGTATTCATTTTACAGCGATATGTTTTTTGTTGATAATTAAAAAAAAAAAACCAGTTTCTTTAAAGAGTTTCAACTTCTCAAACTCCAGTAACCAAAAAAAAGTTGAATGAATTTAAGCCTTTGCTTTTTATGGGAGGAATCATTATTGTTTCATTAATTTATATAAGTAGTTAATGACAAACTATTGTTACAAAGACCACTGACTACATTTATGAAAATGTGTTATAATAAATGACAACTATTGGTCGGTAAAAGTAGAGACACATTTGTATGACATAATATGTGGTTTATTCAGATTTCAGGAACTAGCTTTATGGTAGGACCTGTCAAGGGACAGAGGTGTAATTTCAGTGAAAAAACAAGAAATTCCTAAACAGCTTCATATTTTATTAGTTAGTTTTATGATTATTGTTTATAGTGATAATACAATGAGAATTCCCCTCTTCAATAATAACTTTGCACTGGATAAATGTATTTTAAACTAATATAAAATAAGAACCAATAAACATAAACCATAAATGATGTAGATACTCAGGAAGCCCTTTACTCCTAAATTACACCTTTGGGTATTGCATACTTTTTACTGCCAATACATAGTCAAGAGACCCATCAATTTCTAGTTTTTTAATGTATTATGATTTATGAATTATCATTGTTATGTGACTATTATAATAACAAAGTATTAACAATTTTACAGCTTTAGCTTTTTAATTACTCTTGTGTATGTTCATAACTTTTATTTATTACATATTATGAGTATATAACTAATGAATGAACCGTCTTTGTTATTTGTTTAATTGTATGGTAAATATTCCATTTTTATTATTTATATTATATAAGTTATTTCATTATTTAATTAACATTTTGTCCTTGAAGGAGATTGTAATGTTTTGGGAAATTATATAAGTGTATATTTAAATATTTTTGAATTTTGTTTTCTAAATAAATACATATTTCCCTATGAACAAGACACCAGTAATACAAGTTTAATACATATTAGCGAACAAATTGTAGCACGAAATATACTAATTACCACTTGATATTATGAATGTCTGCCTTTTTTATAAGTTGAAAATCATTCATATGTATTATTTATCACAAATATGGATCTAGTAATTTACATAGTATTATATACTCATAATTACTTATTTTAAATACTAATAATAAAAATTTATAAATTTGGTACTATTATTAGGAATGAAAACACATACATATTTGTGAATAGATGGGAAAGTTAGTCTATTTAGAATAAATACAACAGTTAAAGTCACAGTGAAAATAATTGTAATATAATAAAACTAATTTTTTTTTATTACACATTTTATTTGTGACCCCTTCTTGTTTTGACCAACGGCTTAGCTCTAGCACCTTTTTTATTTGATTTCTTTTTATCCATACGCATTTTAGCACGCATATCTTTTTTCATTCTTGGGTCCACTACTTTGTATGGTCCTTTCACGCCAGCTGGACGTTTCGCTCTCTTGGCAGCTGTGTGTTTTTTGGATACAACATATTTAATTTCTTGCTTAGATTGTTTCAATTTTTTGTAAATCCTAAATGAAAAATGTTTTTTAAAATAAACTGTATCGCTGAAAAAAATCACAAAAACACTTACTGTCTGACTTGTCGAGCTTTTTCAGCTTCTGTAACATCAGAATTTTCCACAACACCTTCCAACTTCTTCTTTGCCTTTTCCATTTGACGTAGAGCACGCTTCTTCTTTCTAGCCTTAGCCTCACCAACTTTTTTAATAGGTCTTATATTTATATCTTCATGTCTTTTGCCAAATTCGTCCACCAGTTCCTAATATTTATGAATTGTATAAAATTAATAATATGTTTACTAAAAATGACAGATAACATTTTTTTAAATATACCTTAGGTACAGGCACATGTTTGCGCATGTGTTTTGCTTCATCATCTACAAACCAATCAGGCAGATCTTCATCATTGAATGCAAATCTATTCCAGGCACCATCAATAATGTCTCTTTTCATTTTTTTCGACGAAGCCATCATTGTACCCAAAGCAAGACCGTCATCATCCAACATTCTAGCATTCCTCTTCTTCTTTTTCTTACCTATTCATAAAGATTACATTTAGGTATGAATTTCAAATAAATAAAATTGTGCTTTTACTCACCAGCTGGTGTAAGCACAGGTTTATCATCCCATTCATTTATGGGTATTGCAGCACTATGATCTTCAGCTTCACTGATTTCAGATTCACTATCAGAGTCAGTAGTTTCATCATCATCAGCATCATCTTTCTGGTTCACTTTTATATTTTTTTTGGACTTTTGTAAACTAACTTTTTCGTTATCATCATCATCATCATCGTCATCATCTAAATTCTCTCTATACATTTTGCCACCTTTAGATTTAATTACAGCAGCCATTTTTTCTAACTCGTAATCTTCATCTTCTTCTCTTTCTACATCTTTAAACACATCCTATACAAAATTATAATTATTCAACCATTCGTAATTTCAATAATTCCATAACTATTAAATATAATATAATTATATAGTTATTTACTTTGTCAAACCAAAGTTCAGCTTTAGAAGTACGTTTGTCCTTAACATCTCGATAGTCAAGATCAGTTATCAGAGGATGGTTTTCGTTTGGATCAGCAAAAGTTACTTTTTTTTTAGGTAATGCTTTTGATGATAGGTTTTTATCTGTAAAACCTGTAAAACAAATAACATTTAAATGAATGCATTTTTTTTTTTATAAAAACAAACAACATTCAACATACCTAATCCTTCAGTATCACTATCGACTTCATCTGATGATTCTTGTTCTGATGCACTTTCATCTGAACGGTAAAACCTACACAAATAAATTAGATGATAAAACAAAATTAAAGGTTATAATTATAAATTTTTTTTTTCATTATTACATTCCAGATTTGTCAAGGTATGTATTGTTTGGATCATATTTCGCTTTTTTAGGCTTAATTTCAACATCAGAATCCTCAGAATCAATTATATCTGGTTCTTGATCAACTACAGTATCTAAAGCTTTTTTTGTTTTTATGTTAGACAGTTGAAATACACCAGTTTCGCGTTCTTCAGTTGGTCCCAAATCATTTTTATGTACCATTTTTAAATTCATTTTAGTTTGTAACTTTGTTCTTTCTTTGTTGGTCTTCTTCTTCTTGCGTTTTAATTCTCTTCTTTCCTCGTCCTACATAACAGCCATTGATTATTATAGAACTATTAATTAAAAATATTTAATTATGAAATGAATTAGATGTACACACCTGTAACTCTTTGATTTCTTTATCAACTTCATCCAATTCTCTTTCATCTTCTGAAAGTTCAACATCATTTTCCTTGTTTTCATCATCAGCTTCCAAAGGTTCAACCTTTTCTTCTTTATCTTGGAACACCTTCCACCAATTCATAATCGATCTTATATCTTTACGGCCTAAAACTTTAATATCTTTGCAACATTCTTTAATTTCATTTGTTGTACTAGGGTGGTTTGCTATAATTGGATCATCTAAAACAATCTAAGAAATAATAAACAAATTTATTAATTAAGTCACAAAAACTGCATTAGAACTACAGGCGCTATTTAAGGGACTAGTTCAAAAGAGCATCTTATCTAAGTTTTACTGTAAATCTCAATATAAGGAATAAAATACAATTTACAAGGAAATGAATTTTCAGCCAGTATGGCATGTACATTATAACATTGTCTAGAAATTCATTGGTCCAAATCGATGTACAATTATATCACTAGGATGAACTATGTTAATGATATGGAGCAAACATCCCTGGGTGTCTTTTTTTCAAATAGGTTTGAGCGAGCAAATTTATAGCAAGAGACTGACATGAGTGCTGATATTCATTAGCACTTTTTAAGTTGAAATATTATGATAGCAAAATATAAAACTTGAATAAAAATACTACTATACTGTACCTATATTAATAATTGTAAGTAACTTACTTCATATGCATCTTGTAATGCTATGGCTGGATTTTTAGATTGCATATAAGTAGAAACAGGTAATTGTTTAAATAGTATAGTCGCGTTATCAGGATAACCTTCAGCTTTTGGCTTCTTTTGAGTTTTGCTTTCAGAATCTAATCTTACCTAAAAACACACATATTTATAAATTAAATACACGACAAGTAGTTATTAACTTAAAAAATAAATATTATTTACTTGTGGATTAACTTCTAAATCTTTGAAAACATAGCTTGCATTAAAGAAACGCTCATCTAGTTTAGATGGCTTCAAATAATATTGGCAAACAACAAATATTTCAGCAGACTCGCTACGTGATGCTTGAGGTTTGGTAGCATGTACTTTTCTGAAAAGTTGTTTAAAAACCCACATGAGGGCATTATAATCTTTGGATCGGAAAACTTTAGTAATAAACCATCCTCCTTCTCTAAGATTATGACAACACAACTTTAATGCACTTAAGGTGAGACAAGATTGAGAATAAGCATCGTAAATCCAATTTTGACCTAAACAAATACAATTTAATGTATTTACAAACAAATATAAAATTTTAAAAATACAAAATGTATACTGACCAACATTGGGAGCTCCGTCATTCAGCACAACGTCCGCTTTGTAAGTTTGAAGTTCTTTGCTGAGAGCCGACTGACATTGTGGAGTTGTAATGTCTTCCGTTAAACATATACAACCAGGCACGGGCTTTATTGGATACAAATCGATACCAACGACGATGCTGGACACCGGCATATTCTGTTTGGCCACTTGCATCCATCCTCCCGGAGCAGCGCAAAGATCAATAAGAACGCGGGCTTTCTGCAGGAACTCAAACTTTCTGTTCAGCTGGAGTAATTTGAAAGCAGCACGAGATCTGAATCCTGTTTAAATGCCACACAGAGTTTAGAAACTATCGTCTTTACACACGACTTACTAAGTAGTACAAAATATCACTTACCGGTTTCCTTAGCTAAATGGTAGAACTTATCTTTACGCTGTTTTCCAATTTTACTCTTTTTACCCATCTTGATGTGTACGGGCACGGGATGCTATGAATTTGATACGATTTGTGACAAAGTCACTAATAATAATAGAAATTATATTATCCTCATTGCACCTATTTCAAATTTTGAATAAGTAATGTTTTTGAATAAATAAGAAGTATAGTGATATGTTATCTTGTTAGGTTATGTATACACGTGATACACGGCCAATGTGTGTTCGCTGATACCAAAGATGTTGTGAATAGATATTTCGCGGGTTTCCATGAGCATTTGAATAATTACAAATTCGAGGGTTCAGCTGCAGTGTAAGACAAATAGTGTAAATAAAAGCGAATAAACATCAATTGAATTTTGTTGATGCAAAAGGATTTAAGGATTCAGGTGATATTAATACATACATAATTATTATACAGTAAAGCCCGTCTTGTGCGGAATTGCACGGAACCAACAAAAATTTCCGTTTTAGGCAGGTTTCCATATAACTGAATAAAAAGGAAAATTCCATACTAAAGCGTTATAATATTCCTCACGATTAAGGTTGTAACATTTTCCGGTCAGTAATAAAAAGTGTATATGTATAAAAATAAATATGGTTTGACTATAATATAGTCTATAAAAACTATAGTAAGTGAAATTAATCATGATTAATAGTGACTGATTGATAGTGTTTAGCATTATTTTTACTATTATTATACTTACGGTGCACCTATCGAATTATACTTGTAAATATTACGAAATAAATAGTGAGTACTTATTGATGTACAATTTATGTTTGGTTGATATTGTTTTTAAGCTGCAGTGGAGTCGACGTTAATATCATATAAGACAATTTTCTTTCTATTTTTTCGATTCAAATTTCAAACACTGTAAAACGGGAATTATTAATTTGTATATAATATGTATTGGCAAATAATCATAACCCTGCATAATGAGAACGATGAAAATATAAGTACTTATCATAAAATATAGATGTTATGAAACACAATATTTTTAACAAAATACATATGTTTTTGTAGATATACGTTTTATATACAACTGAAGAGTTTCGGTTATTTTACACTTTAGTTTCTACTGTTATTGCTGTATAGAAAGGTTACAAATGTTAAAATAACTATATCGAGTTCGTCCATTCAGTTCTTATTATTATTATAAATTATTATAATATATATTAATGTAGTTGTGTCTTGACTGATTGTTTGCACGGGAATGGAACAGATTTGTTAATACAAAAAAAAATATTCAGGGTGTATACTTTGTGTATACTGCAGGTACACAAGACGGTACTCACAACTCGGCCTTGGAAGTTTCCACAAACACATTTCGGACAAACAACCAAGAAATAAAAACTCGACGTTTCGCAGGTTTATCGCTGTGCCAACTGCAGTATCCCACGTAGACTATCGCCGTAACACATTTTTACTACCCATGTTGCGAATATTATATTATTTTTGTATAAGAATTATATTATTTTATCTTGCTTACGAAAAAATTAACGATTTTATAATATTCACATAAAGTTGAATAAGCTGTTTTTTTCTGAAAATATTGACGTTGCAACATTTTACTTTCATTAATCTTCTGATTTTTAATACTTTTTTTAGTTTGGAGAACAATTAAGAATCATTTAATACCATAGTGGTATCAAACATGTGGAGCGAGCTAGTACGGATTTCAGTGTGGCTCGCAATTTTTCTCGAAACTAGAAAAAATATTAATAACCAGGAGATTAATAGAAATAAAATGTTGAAACTTCAATATTTTTAGAAAAATGAACTTTACAAAATTCCTATCCTCAATTTTTTTGAAAGTAATTAAAAAAATATATATTTTTTAAGCTTTTTTACTAAAACATTAAAATTAATTAAAACATGAAATATTTGTAGTTCTTGTCCCTGTGAGACTTATTAGAAACCCAGAACTATGATATTTCCATTGTATCAGGAGATATCGCAATGGGTAAATACTAAATCCTTGCGGGACACTATGTTTACCACCTCCCGTATCCAGTACCAGTAATGCTCAGTTGCACTTCTTCGACAACCAACCTGTTAGCCACTATACCGCAACAGCTGAATAAGAGCTTTCCATAATCCACAATGCTGTAGTAATTGTTTTTCAAGAATCTGAAACACCTTGTTCTAATTATTGTAGTTCAATGCTTTTAAAAGTTCATTGATTTATATTAAACTATTATGGCGTTATATGTTATCCGCGTATCGACTTTACGTATGAAACGTTCGTCGAAACCGTTTATTGTCCGCAAGCGGCAAGTCATAGGTTACAGCGAGACTGGGTGCCAATTAATAAACGATACCAATATTCGAATAAATTAATCACATATTTATTAAGAGTTAATGGCTGGTTGTATATAAATATATAATTATTAGTTGTGTACATAGAAAATGATTTATTAAATATCTGCACGGTATAAGAGTTTAAAAGAAAATCTAATTGTTTATAACCTGCAGTATTCACTTGAGCTTATATTATAAAATCTCTCACACAAGAATTTTAAAATTCTCTTAAGGGACCTGTTTATGTGACTGTCCTAATAGGGGGTAATGTTTAGGCAATATGCAATTTCTTTGCCACCTATGCACAATATTTCAACGGCACCGTCGAGCGTCGGCCGAAAATGAAAAACGTGATTTTTTGTTCAAAACTAGTTTTACAGGAAAAACTCAAGTGCATCATAAAGTGTCTGATTTAATACATTTTTTTCGTTAGAAACAAGAAAATATTGTCTTCAGGGCCCATTGGATTTAGATTTTTAATTTCGTCGCTTAAAACAATCATAATAAAAATCACCAAAGCTTGTGAAAATAGGTCATATTTAAAATTGTATTATATGGTTTAGAAATATAATTTTGAAAATCTTAAGTGTAAGTCTGATGCACCCTGTAAGAAGTGTTTCTCTTTCTAAACAAAAAATTTCGTAATCGGATCACTTTACTGCGAGGCTTGAGTTTTTCCTGTATAAGATATGTTTTTTGAGCGAAAAATTAGATTACTTGCAGGCCCCTTATGTCTTTTAAATTAGTGGTCATGTTTTACATTTGGGGTTTAAAATAGTCTAATAACCACTGGCCCTCCTAAAAAAAATTACCAAAAAGTGTCCACCTATGGTAACTGTGTATACTATATACTACAACTTACGGCAATGCCGAGGTACTAACAATGATATAACGCAACAGCGGCTGAGTTCAACGATAAAATATTTGTTCGATTTTACACTCGCGGTGGCCTTGCACATTATATAGTCGTGTACTCGTGTCTGGCCGTCAGGCTGTTAACCTACATAATATTTTATATTATACAGCAATATTTCTAACAGGAAACCGGCAACATTCGTCCACGCTAATATTATTATTTTAAGCGAACCGCATCAGGGATTTATAATGTGAGACCGTGCGGGGTATCTGAGCCGTTATTTTTTCAATCACTTCCGCACCGAATTCGACGACTTGCGTAAACAATTGCGACGTGTTGCTGAACTCTACAGATTTGAACCGAAAATAAATGTTTGTTTGGAAGTAATTTCCTACTAAAATATTATTTTGTTCGCAATATTATTATATATAGTATGCACTCAAAATTATTTAAATTATGTATAATGTCTTGTATACCTTGATAGTTAATAATTGTATAAATAATACATTGCAGACGATAATCGGACGATCGCCAAACGGGTATACTGTTGGATTTTGAAGTTTTGACTCGGTGGGGAAAGGAGCATAATATTTTGATTATAATACTTACCATTTATCAACTGACGGAGTATAGACTTTGCATCTTACATAAAAACGATTATGTAGGTAAAGTGCTGTATAACAAGTGCAGTAGTCGCAGTTTATAGATGGTATACAAACAAAATTATTATACATTCGATATTTCGATTTTATTTGCTATAGACGCTAGTGAAATATGGTAACAACTTTCACTTTATACATAGGTATAATATAACAAAATAAAGATTACATTCCTTCAATGCTTAATTATTAACAATTAACAAATCGATTAAAATATAAATTCATTATAATATTTCCTATCATTACATTTACTGCTTGTGATGGTCGTAATTATTATGTTTTAGATACATGAATACATAATTGATTAGAAAAATGTCATATTATGTACTTATACAGTTATACATATCGCCGTGGCACTGAGTTTTTGCATTGGAAATTGAAATATTAAACCTAACACCTTATAATATTACTACATGTATTATGTATGAAAGTCATGTAGACACTTCCATGCAGTTTCATCACTTTAAGATAAACAATGTTGTTCGGATTGACTCACTAGTTCGTTAATTATTTTTAACATTTACTTAGTGTTCTGAAACAATTTGTTTTAGCAAAAATATTGATCATTGATTACCATGCTGTATAAGCCACCTAAACGTTTATGATGTGTTTTACTACAAAATTACAAATTTAATGTATGTTTCTGAAAAAGTGCTCGTTTAATGTAGCTACTACATTGCGTATGGGTAACTCAAAATTAGTTTCTAGTTAGTTTTCGGCTAGTCATTGTTGTCAGTCACTAGTTAGTTATATTAAATAATGAAAAGTAATTAAAAACGAATAAACACAAAACGTTCGTAAAAGAAGCTTCATCCAGATCGGTGTTTGCTTTTTTATGGATACATCTATACATATACTAACTAGCAACAAAAGAATTAACCTACATTTATCATAATATGTAATTTTTCACTGTCATAGTTTTAATAGTAGGGCAATTTTAATCCGTAAACTATTTAACAAAAAACAATTTACAGGAGTTCCAACAAAAAACTAAAGACGTAAAGGTCATTCATTACATCTGGTATAGTAAGGTGCATAAATGCAGTGTCTAAGTGTCGGCATGCTAAGTTCTGTCGCAATTTTGGAGCATTAATTTTTTTTCTTTATATTTTAATTTTGTATTATACAACAAAAAAGTTATAACATTAAACAAATATACTATTGTTATGGGTTGGGTTGTATTTATGAATTTTTTATACGTTTTAACAAAAATAACAAGAATCAAAAAGAACCGCAGGTCTGGAGGGTAGGTAATTCAAATTAAGACCCTCGTCTTAGGCGATTCCGGCACAGATGCGGTCGGCACAGTTGCGGTCAATACCTTTTTGGTGGCATTTGCGG